GTACTTATGCGTCAAGTTTCTGTCAAAGATGTAATACAATATTACTGATCATATTCAATTATTTATTATTGATGACTTAACTTGGCGTTTAAACCATTTAATAATTACTAACAATACATCAGTTATGATTGTAGAAAGGTTATCGCAACTTGAATTCTATCTTCAATATTGATTTCGACCCCTGAAATATTTCAAATAGATCAAAGACAATTAGACACCATTAATCAAATGGTAAATGTTTAAGATCTATGTGTTTTATAAATGGACCTCCCTGTGTCAGATATAAATAATGGGGGAAAAATATAAATGTCAAAAAAAGAAAAGAAATACAAAACAAAACATGTTGGACAAAATAAAAAACATTGCTTTAATTAACAATTAAATTTCATGGTTCAAAACAAATACTTGTTTTGATGTAGATTATTTATCAATATACATTATTTATCAATATCTTTTTGAACCCGAGAAATAGTAACATTTGAAAAATGGAGATACTTTAATTGTCACTTGTAAAGCTTAATAATAGCTGTATATATGAGCCGCGTCATGACAAAACCAACATAGTGCGTTTGCGACCAGCATGGATCCAGACCAGCCTGCTCATCTGCACAGTCTGATCAGGATCCATGCTGTTCGCTTACCAACCCTTTTACAAGTAGAGAAACTGATAGCGAACAGCATGGATCCTGATCAGACTGCACGGATGCGCAGGCTGGTCTGGATCCATGCTGGTCGCAAACGCACTCTGTTGGTTTTGTCATGAAGCAGCTCATATCTTGGAGAACAGTTCCAGTTTTGATCTATTATGGTCTTATAGAGCTTGATTTGGAGACAAAGTGTTTAAAATTTTGAAACTTTAATATTGACTTTTGAATACTGTTAATAGACCACTGTTCCACAGGTCTACTGACTTAAGCATGGGCAAAATGCAATTTTGAAGACAGAAACAAAATGTTGAAAAGTATTGAGACATTGGACAAGAGTCTAAGAGTTCATTATTACACTAATCCTCAGCAATATTTTATAATATGAATCAAAGAGTACCACTGAATTCCATATATATAAATGTATTACATTTCAAGAGAGAGTCTCTGGCAATATATATATATTATAAAAGAGGTTTGACATTAAATATATTATAAATTAATTGGAAATTTCTGAATATCATTATATTTATTTAAAGGTTTATATATACATAATATAAGTTGCTTGTTAATTTCTGCATAACATAAGGCGTACTTCATTATATTATATACATGTATATTATTATTACCCATTAAAATTCTGTATATCATCATAATATAAAGTGTATTATTAACAAACATTATTATACCTATTTTGTATGTCACTTGTTTTGAATGACAAAGTCAGGGATGCACAATTTGGGTTTTATCAGATGAGTTTGCGTGAATTAACATTGCCTCTGGGCCTATTCTATTTAATGACCATTTTTAGTACTACTTAATGGTCGAATGGAGTTTGTGATATTACAACGTGTAGATCAGGTGTTCTATAGGCTCATAATAGCATTTTGGGTAAAAATATGCCTGCCACATTCTTTCTTTTTTGAAGATAAAAATCTCAAAGTTCTGTTGCATTGTATTTTATTTTTTTGTTATGTATAATTTTCTGTGTGATTTTAATCTCATCTTGTATGTGTCACAGTACACTGTACCAACTTTACATGTAAAATATATATAATATAATAGGATAGGCTATGTTTTAAATAACAAAACATAAATCATATTTAAAATTGCCTTATATGGAAAAAAGCCTTATATCAAAATATGCATTTTATCAGAATGTACATCATATCAGTTTCTGCATACATCATATCAGAACCATCGTCGGATACCCACGATTGATAAACATGTCACATAACATGCAATCAATGTTAATGGTTCGGCCGTGGGTATCCGACGATGATCAGAACAAGCATCTTATCAGATTCTTCATTCAGCATCATATCTGAATAGGCATCATATTGGAACATACATCATACCAGAAAAGGCATCATTTCAGAACAATTATCATATCTAGAAAAGCATGATATCAGAACACACATCATATCAAAACAAGCATGATTTCAGAACAGTCATTATATCAGAAAATGAATTATATCAGAACACACATCATATTAAAACAGGCATGATTTCGGAACAGTCATCATAAATATCAGGAAATGAATTATATCAGAACAAGCATCATATTAAAACAGGCATGATTTCGGAACAGTCATCATAAATATCAGGAAATGAATTATATCAGAACACACATCATATTAAAACAGGCATGATTTCGGAACAGTCATCATAAATATCAGGAAATGAATTATATCAGAACAAGCATCATATCAGAAAAGGCATGATTTCAGAACAACCATTATATCAGAAAAGACATTATATCAGAACAAGCATCATATCAGAAGAACCATCATATGAGAACAAGCATCATTTCAGAACAGGCATGATTTAGAAACAATCTGTCATTATATCAGAACAAGCATCATATCAGAAGAACCATCATATGAGAACAAGCATCATTTCAGAACAGGCATGATTTAGAAACAATCTGTCATTATATCAGAACAAGCATCATATCAGAAGAACAATCATATCAGAAGAAGCATCAATTGTCAGAACAGACATGATTTAGGAACAATCTATCATTATATCAGAACAAGCAATATACCAGAAAAGGCATGACTTTCAGAACAATCATTACATCAGAACATGCATCATATCAGAATAAGCATCATATCAAAACATACATCATATCAGAAAAACCATCATATCAGAACAAGCATCATTGCAGAACAGGCATCATATCAGAACATCATTCACATTAAAATGTATGTAATATTGAAACATAAAATATATAAAAACAGTACAAGTTATATCATAGCAATGTAAGATAATAGATGAAGACAAAAAACATAATCAGCAAAATGTTATGATATATGTTGAATGTCATATATTGTTTTTTGTTGTGATAATCAAATTTATGTATAGTTGTAATCAGTTATCTTACCATTTTGCAGATATTTGCTGCTAAATGTCAGTTTTATAATATATTTATCATCATTACCCTGATGGAATAGAAAGTGATAAGCATTTGCCACCAGCATATAATAGACCCAGGCTGTCTTTTATAATCATTAGGACACTATGTCATTTTAGATGGGAGTGGGCTTTTGTCGAGGAAGGGTTTTGCTGGCCAGTCTGTACAGTTGTGTAGTCTCACTCTGACCAGGCTCTATAACTGTTGGCACCTTAATTTCTTTGTTTTGATTTTGAAATCCTCCCTGAAACATAGAATGGACTGTTCCAAATTCAAAAGCTTGGCAAATCCATTTCATAATTTTAGCAGATTAAGAGTTAAGTTTTCTTTACAAAATATGTAGGAATTTTAAAACAGATATTTGAAATGTAGAAATCAACAGGTAATACATGTATATATGCAAATGTATTACATAAAAAAGGACTATTTCAATTTTAGCTTGTAACAATTAATGAATATCTATATATAGAAAAAATTGTCATTAGCATAGAAACAATATTTAAACAGATAATTTAAACCTCTTTTATTACATTATAATACATTATACAAAATCATTATTATTCATGGTAAAATTATTTTCATGGTGTGTGCACAATAAGTTACAAAAAACATATAACTGTTTTTTGGGGTTTTTTTTAGAGGATTTCCTTAAACTTGCAATCCTTAAAATACCGTAGTTTTGTCAAATATTAACAGCCAGTCCCAAAATGTAACAAATATGAAACCCTACAAAATAATAATGACTATCTAGTCATACAGCTAATCTAATAAACAAAAGCCCTCAAATGAAAAATATAAAATGACTAAAAGCCTCTTGTTTGTTTTATCAAAATCCTCTCATTTTAATGGTTAAACAAATGGATTAATTTTATGATATATTGGTTCTTCCGCAAAAATGTGATACAGTTAGAATATCAACAGAAATAAATTTAAATCTTTGCATAATTATACAATCTTATATTTACTGAGATTTTTTTCTGCAAAATTATCTTATACTTGATTACAGAAACTGCTTTTTTGGGAGAAAATTGTATATTTATCTTAACATTTTGTTAACATTTGAATTTGAAATTATCTTATAAAATTATCTTATACTGCTTACTCAATCTGTAAGTTTATGGAAAATTATCTTATAAATTACTCGCATTGTTATTTTGGAGAAATAATATTTTAGGGCAAATTGATCTGTTATTTTACAAAAATTCACAGGTGCAGTCTGACCGAAGACTGCGAAGTCTATACTTTAAGCATTTTGTCTATTAAAATTGCAAAAAATAGAATGGATTGTTCCAAATTTTAAGCTTGGCATGTTCATTACACAAATTTTGTTGACAATAACAGTAAATGATTCTGGTGAAGGCCTAGATTTTACCTATAAGCTAGTAAGTGAATATATGACATAATTTTTTTTGCTGATGATTTAATCTAGCTAAGACCCTATTAAATAGCAATCTAAACCACCCTACAAAGCCAGTTTGAGTTGAACTTCATTTTTGCAGAGTAAGTGTGGATTAAAACATTAATAAGAAGAAATGAAAACAATCAATTTAACTCAAAACTGGCTTCATCATAATACATGTTTTTAGGATTCTTCCAGAATGACCTTGAATCATGAATATTCAATGACATCTTGACCTTATTATCAGGAGTTTGACCTTTACCTGAAATGTCACTATGAATATAAGTATAAAACCATAAAACACACGAAAAAAAACAACAGCAAAAATTTATGTTTACTTACTGTCATACATTAACTGAAATAGTGATAAAGCAAGAAAAAAACAAGACAAAAATATGTCAATATGTAATAAAACATAATAAAAACAGTACCTTATTAATGAGCGGTTGATGACCACTTAGTTTATGATAAATGTTTATATGTCATTTACATAAACAGTAGCAAAAAACTAACATACTTAACATGAGTGTGTTTTTTTCAGGTTTGGATGTTACTAGACAAGATATAAGGGATGGTGGATCCACGGGGGCCAGCAGCCATGACGGGAGCAGTTCTTGCAGTCATCTCAGCCAGAGTGACCTCATCAGCCAGTTAACTGAGGGACAGTTTATGTCTGCTGAGGTTAGTTTATGTTATTAATGTTTGTTGAAGTTAATAGTTGAACAAAGGAATATTTCATTGCTCTGCTGAGATTAGAAATTTTTGTGTATGTATGAGATAGGAGACATTTTAATTCTGCTGAGATAAGAAATTCATGTTTGTAGGACAATTCATGTCTGCTGAGGTTAGAGCATCATGTTTGTATAAGGTAAGACATTTCATGCTTGCTGAGGTGAGAGCATCATGTTGGTATGAGGTAGGACATTTTATGTCTGCTGAGGTTAGAGCATCTCATTTGTATGAGGTAGGACATTTCATGTCTGCTGAGGTTAGAGCATCATGTTTGTATGAGGTAGGACATTTCATGTCTGCTGAGGTTAGAGCATCATGTTTGTTGTATGAGGTAGGACATTTCATGTCTGCTGAGGTTAGAGCATCATGTTTGTATGAGGTAAGACATTTCATGTCTGCTGAGGTTAGAGCATCATGTTTGTATGAGGTAGGACATTTCATGTCTGCTGAGGTTAGAGCATCTCATTTGTATGAGGTAGGACATTTCATGTCTGCTGAGATTAGAGCATCATGTTTATATGAGGTAAGACATTTCATGCTTGCTGAGGTTACATTAGGAGACATTTTAATTCTGCTGAGATAAGAAATTCATATTTGTAGGACAATTCATGTCTGCTGAGGTTAGAGCATCATGTTTGTATAAGGTAAGACATTTGATGTATGTTGAGGTTAGAGAATCATGTTTGTATGAGGTAGGACATTTTATGTCTGCTGAGGTTAGAGCATCTCATTTGTATGAGGTAGGACATTTCATGTCTGCTGAAGTTAGAGCAACATGTTTGTATGAGGTAGGACATTTCATGTCTGCTGAGGTTAGAGCATCATGTTTGTATGAGGTAGGACATTTCATGTCTGCTGAGGTTAGAGCATCTCATTTGTATGAGGTAGGACATTTCATGTCTGCTGAGGTTAGAGCATCATGTTTGTATGAGGTAGGACATTTCATGTCTGCTGAGGATAGAGCATCTCATTTGTATGAGGTAGGACATTTCATGTCTGCTGAGATTAGAGCATCATGTTTATATGAGGTAAGACATTTCATGCTTGCTGAGGTTACATTAGGAGACATTTTAATTCTGCTGAAATAAGAAATTCATGTTTGTAGGACATTTCATGTCTGCTGAGGTTAGAGCATCATGTTTGTATAAGGTAGGACATTTCATGTCTGCTGAGGTTAGAGCATCATGTTTGTATGAGGTAGGACATTTCATGTCTGCTGAGGTTAGAGAATCATGTTTGTATGAGGTAGAACATTTCATGTCTGCTGAGATTAGAGCATCATGTTTATACGAGGTAAGACATTTCATGCTTGCTGAGGTTACATTAGGAGACATTTTAATTCCGCTGAAATAAGAAATTCATGTTTGTAGGACAATTCATGTCTGCTGAGGTTAGAGCATCATGTTTGTATAAGGTAAGACATTTGATGTATGTTGAGGTTAGAGAATCATGTTTGTATGAGGTAGGACATTTCATGCTTGCTGAGGTTAGAGCATCATGTTTGTATAAGGTAGGACATTTCATGTCTGCTGAGATAAGAGCATCTCATTTGTATGAGGTAGGACATTTCATGTCTGCTGAGGTTAGAGCATTATGTTTGTATGAGGTAGGACATTTCATGTCTGCTGAGGTTAGAGCATCATGTTTGTATGAGGTAGGACATTTTATGCCTGCTGAGGTTAGAGCATCATATTTGTATGAGGTAGGACATTTCATGTCTGCTGAGGTTAGAGCATCATGTTTGTATGAGGTAGAACATTTCATGTCTGCTGAGTTTAGACTAAGCATCTCATTTGTATGAGGTAGGACATTTCATGTCTGCTGAGATAAGAAAGTCATATTTGTATGGGTAAGGACATTTTCTTGACTGCTATTTTCATGGGAATTGAAATAAATTTAAGGTACACATTGTATATCTGTCAAGGTTAGAAGTTGTTTTTGGTTAATTGTAATTTGTTTGCTCATAGTGTAGTAAGTTAAATGACTTACAGTTATTGGTCCATTGAGAATAATAGACAATGTTTGCAGGACTTTATCTCAGTGTGCATAGAGGTTAGCATTATATTGTACATAGAAGAATGCGTTTGAAGATTTAAAATATCATTTGTAAAGGTTATAAACTACTTATAAGTAATTAATTTCATATGTGTATATTGATTTATAGACAATTGTTGCAACATTTGTGACCCTTTCTGTCTGTCCTTAAATATTATCATAAAATTTCAGTGTTCTCATGTTTGTTCCTAATACATCATCTATTTATTTTATGTGCAATATTTAAAGCTTTTGAAGTGGTAGACATTGTACCATTCTGTAGAACTTTGTATGAGTATTGAATAATTTTGTTCTAATCTAATGCACAAATCTTTTCATGAAAAGATAAATCAGTAATCATGCCAAAATCTGCTATCGTATTGCATAGAGGCATTCTTCATATCACATGATTTATTCATAACTTTTAATGATTAATTCATGATTGTTTTGTAGTCTGCTACATCAAATATGTTTTTGTGATGAATAAAGTTTAATGGCATAAAAATGATGTGACTTTATAGCTTAACTTTCTCCCCCAGAGGTTTAAGATCCCAGTTTCTGATATACAGCTTGCACATTGCAGGCAGCTGCCTTGATTGTACCATGAGAAAACTTTCTATATGTAAATAACAAATTGATTACGATTTTGAAAGATTCTTTAGTATTATGTAAAATGCAGTTTTAGATATGTTTCAGATAGGCCTCTTTCTTTGTAAAATTATATTCAAAAATGTATCTTTAGACTTATAAGTCTATAAAAAGTTCTGTAATGGTTCTTGTTACAAGATTTTATGTTCCTTTAGATTTTGTTCCATGATTTTATCTTCTTTTTCTTGTTCCATGATTTTATGTTCTTTTAGGTCTTGTTCCATGATTTTATGTTCTTTAAGGTCTTTTTCTAGGATTTTATGTTCCTTTAGGTCTTATTCTAGGATTTTATGTTCCTCTAGGTCTTATTCTAGGATTTTATGTTTCATTACATGTTGTTCCAAGATTTTATGTTCCTTAAGATTTTGTTCATAGATTTTATGTTCCTCTAGGACTTGTTCCATGACTTTATGTTCCTTTAGGTCTTGTGCCAAGATTTTATGTTCCTTTAGGTCTTGTTCCTTGGTTTAATGTTCTTTTAGGTCTTGTTCCATTATTTTATGTTCCTTTAGGTCTTATTCTAGGATTTTATGTTTCATTACATCTTGTTATAAGATTTTATGTTCCTTAAGGTTTTGTTCATAGATTTTATGTTCCTTTAGGTCTTGTTCCATGATTTTATGTTCCTTTAGGTCTTGTTCCATGATTTTATGTTCTTTTAGGTCTTGGTTCATGATTTTATACACTTAACAAATCTTATAAGTGTGCATGTATAAATGGTTTCATATGTGTATCAATATTTGCCTGATCATGCTGAAATTTTCAGTAAATACATAAAAGAGACATGTTATCATTTTTATTAAGGATTTTTTTATTCAAGATACAAATTTAAGATTTAATTTCTAAAAAATGTGAATGCATGGCAAAGTCGATATTGCAAAATGATGTCCTTATACTGTGTGTGCCCACCCTGACTGTGTATTACAGCCTACCAGCGTTGTCACATCGATCTTACATACCGTTGTAGATAATTTTGGGGTTGGTGAGAAGGTTACCAAAGAAGTTGCTCTGTACTTAATGATTAGCCTTCTTAGGTAGTTTGGTGTAAACTCATGCCAGGCGCAACCTACAAATGATACATACAAGTACATTGTAATTACTAAATAAATATGCATTTTATGTTCGCCTTTGATAGAAACTGAATTTCAACGATTTTCGGCTTTTACAATGCAAAGGAATTAAAATAACCATTTAAACAAATAAATTTTGTTACCAACCTCTGTTTGGTGTACACAAGCGTTGACCAATCCTAGGGCTATGTCACGCTGTTGTATAGATAATCTACCCATGTGGTGTTTTTATGCCCCCGCCATGTAATGGCCGGGGCATATAGTGTTACCCTGTTCCGTCCTTCCGTCCTTCCGTCATTCCGTCCTTCCGTCATTCCGTCATTCCGTCATTCTGTCATTCCGTCATCATCAGTTTCCGTTCATTATCTTAGTAACGGTTGCACATATTCAACTCAAATTTGACATATGGATATGTCATGAGAAAATACAGGTCAAGTTCGAATTTGGTCATGGTTCGATGATTTTTGGCAGAGTTATGCCCCTTTTACTTTGAAAATAATATGAAATTTTCAGTTTCCGTTCATTATCTCCCCAACGGTACAACATATTCAACTCAAATTTGACATATGGATATGTCATGAGAAAATACAGGTCAAGTTCGAATTTGGTCATGGTTCAACGATTTTTGGCAGAGTTATGCCCCTTTTACTTTGAAAATAATATGAAATTTTCAGTTTCCATTCATTATCTCCCCAACCGTACAACACATTCAACTCAAATTTGACATATGGATATGTCATGAGAAAATACGGGCAAGTTGGAATTTGGTCATGATTCGATGATTTTTGGCAGAGTTATGCCCCTTTTACTTTGAAAATAATATGAAATTTTCAGTTTCCGTTCATTATCTCCCAACGGTACAACACATTCAACTCAAATTTGACATATGGATATGTCATGAGAAAAATACAGGTCAAGTTCGAATTTGGTCATGGTTCAACGATTTTTGCAGAGTTATGCCCCTTTTACTTTGAAAATAATATGAAATTTTCAGTTTCCATTCATTATCTCCCCAACCGTACAACACATTCAACTCAAATTTGACATATGGATATGTCATGAGAAAATACGGGTCAAGTTCGAATTTGGTCATGATTCGATGATTTTTGGCAGAGTTATGCCCCTTTTACTTTGAAAATAATATGAAATTTTCAGTTTCCGTTCATTATCTCCCCAACGGTACAACACATTCAACTCAAATTTGACATATGGATATGTCATGAGAAAATACAGGTCAAGTTTGAATTTGGTCATGGTTCGATGATTTTTGGCAGAGTTATGCTCCTTTTACTTTGAAAATAATATGAAATTTTCAGTTTCTGTTTATTATCTCCCCAACAGTACAACACATTCAACTCAAATTTGACATATGGATATTTTTTTGGAATGCCAAGGTCAAGTTCGAATTTGGTCATGGTTCAATAATTTTTGGCAGAGTAATGCATTTTTCACTTTGAAAAAAATATGAAATTTACAGTTTCTGTTCATTATCTACCCAACAGTGTTAAATATTCAACTCAAATTTGACATAAGGATATGTCAAAGGAATGGGCAGGTCAAGTTGGAATTAGGTCATGGTTCGATGATTTTTTGGCAGAGTTATGTCCCTTTCACTTTGAAAAATAATATAGATACATCTTAGGAATAGGCAGTTTAAATTTGAATTTGGTCGTGGTTCAATGATTTTGGACAAACTTATCTTTCTTGAATATTGGAAAAAAATTTGAACTTTCAGTTTCAGCACTCATACTTTTGTGGAAATGTATGTAGCCATTATTTTGGCTACAAATATGAAATATGCTATTTTCAAAAGGATAAGACTGAATAATTTCAGTGCCTTGAACATTGTATGAAAATGGTTTGTGTTAACATTGAAAAGTTTTAAGGGCTTTGAACTTAAAATGAAAACAATAATTTGTGCAAACAAATTTGGAACTAAATATAATAACATCTGAAATTTTGGCTGCATGCGGGGGCATCCGTGGCATGATGACACATTTCTAGTTTCTGATATGTCGATCTCTATCGTATCCGAGAATATCATGTGCAATATTATTTCACCCATTCTCACAATTTTTTCGTGCATTGGGTGAATTTCGTTCGTTCATGGTTGAACGCACCTCATAATTAAAATTGACATGCTTGAGCACATAAAATGTGTGGAAATTCAGCCAGAAGTCAGAACACATAATTTTGTAAAAATATATTGACAAACGAAAAAGTTATAAGGACAGAAAAGGTGCACACTTATAAGATTTGTTAAGTTTATTCTTTTAGATCTTGTTCCATTATTTTATGTTCCTTTAGGTCTTATTCTAGGATTTTATGTTTCATTACATCATGTTCCAAGATTTTATGTTCCTTATGATTTTGTTCTTTGATTTTATGTTCCTTTAGGTCTTGTTCCATGATTTTATGTTCCTTTAGGTCTTGTTCCATGATTTTATGTTCTTTTAGGTCTTATTCTAGGATTTTATGTTTCATAGATTTTATGTTCCTTATGGTTTTGTTCTTTGATTTTATGTTCCTTTAGGTCTTGTTCCAAAATTTTATGTTCCTTTAGGTCTTGTTCCATGATTTTATGTTCCTTTAGGTCTTATTTTATGTTCCTGTAGGTCTTGTTCAATGATTTTTGTGTGCCTTAGGACTTGTTCCATGACTTTATGTTCCTTTAGGTCTTGTTCCAAGATTTTATGCTCCATAAGGTATTGTTCCAAGATTTATGTTCCTGTAGGTCTTGTTTCTCAAAGATTTAATGTTCCCTCTGGTCTTGTTCCAAGATTTAATGTTCATTTTGATATATTTTAGATATCAGATGATGAGGCTGGAAGTGATGATAGTATACACACAGTGACCGAGGCAGAGAGTCAGTTCTCATATGCCAAACAACAAGGTGCCATAAGAAAAGCTGGGTATGATAATTGCTTTAGTGTTATTTAAACATTACTTTTATTTAAACATTTTAAACATGTTTTACCAAATACAGGAAGAAAGTAAGTTCTTCTTTAATTTTTTAACCATAATGATGAGCACAATTAAAAGAAATAGCAGCCCTGACTAATGTGACCTTTTGATTGGCATTACCTAATTGATTGATGTTCAATCTATATTAGTTAATTTAAGCTTTTATCATGTTGGAAGTGACATGAATTAGCTCATTGAAACACTCTCAAAGCTGTTCTTGGAACCAACCAGTACTGAGCAATGAGTGTAAATTTTCTTGCTCAAGGTAACAACAGCTTATGCCCTGACGGGGTATGAACCCATGTGGCCAGAAATTTTTAGATTACTAGTCCAACGTGTTAACCCCTTGGCCAAGCTGCCATACATATTAAGGTCAAGGTCTTATTACAGATAGATATAAGTATGACAGGGGCAGTAAAATCTTCTAATATTAAGTTTGTTTTATTGTTGATACACATAATAATGCATTAAATAAAAGGTTGTAATGTTGTTAAAAAGGGGTAATTTTAGATTTTTTCTCTTCAGAAATTAAAAATAAAAATTTAGTTTTCAGTATTATTGTTATTAAGGTCCAATTTCAGGCTTTTTTTCATTCTTCATAAAAAACAACAATCTTTTTGTAGGAGAAGAAAATCAATGTCTGAGCTTCTCAATCTTTGAAACAATCCCTGGCAATACACTAGAGTGTTAACTGAAAATGACATCCATTCTTGTTGTTAATTCAATGTCACTAAATTTGGCCGGTAACCAGAAGTTAATCATAAGAGACTGGGGTTATTAATGTATTCTGGTATTGAATTATAAATCATAAATGATATTATTAACAATGGGTCAAATGGTCATTGATGTCTGAAGTTATATTATATATTTATTATTATATGTCTCGGTTGTTAATATAGCATAGTCTTTACCTTGTTTTCTTGAAATTACTACTGAAACTTATAACAACTTAAATGATTTAATTTATTTTGCTGGGTTTTTAGTCACACCAACACTGTAAAGGTCATATGGCAAATTTAAAGCTTTACTCAGGTGGAAGAAGACCTCAGGTGCTCCTCCATGCATTATTTAAGGATTGAGGGGGAACCTGAGTAAGAACACTGACATTCTGCAAGCCAGTTACATTGAAAATTTCTGAAAAGAAAAATGTAAAGAAAACATCACCAACATGAACTCTTTATAATATATAAAAATTTTGCTTAAGAAATAATATACTGTATGTGTAGAAATATTCGCGGGCTTCAAATTTTCGCGATCTTCGCGGTGACATTCGATCCGCGAATTCATGTTTAGCGCGAATATTTCTACACCAATAATTTCTTAATAGTCATATTTTCGCGCTTCTATAGAACAATGTATATCAGTGTGTGATATGCTTTCACATTTTTCATTTAAATCTTTACTGAGTAATTGTGTTTTGTTTTCCAAGTTATTCATTATTTAAAATCGTTTATGTTTGTGTTTTTTAATTGTTTGTTCAGAAAAACCAAAACATGATCTGATCAGATGTCAAGACGTTTATGACGCAAACTGTGAAAAATTATGCACGTTAACGGGCATTCTTTTGTTTGCTATAATCTGTCCGTTAGACAATGTCTTTTTTTGTACAATAGAGTATTGTTTGACACCTGGTATTGAAATAACTGTGAACTCCCACGATGATAACAGTTATTTTCCTTTTTTAACTTGAGTGGTCTACGCGAATTTATGATTTTCGGTAGTCAACTCCGCGAATTCAAAATAGCGCGAATATTTGTATAGACCCCCAAAGTGGACCTTTCCGCGAAAATTTGCTTCCGCGAATTTAAATACACATACAGTATCCAAAACAGTGATTTTATCGCTCAATAACATCACTGGAGTTCGGATGAGAGGAATTATATCACCAGGGTGTAGCCCGAGTGATATAATGAAGCGCATCAGAACGACAAACAGTGATGTTATCAAGCGATAAAATCATTGTTTTGGATATAATATTTTGATTCTAACACGACATCAACAAATAAATGCTGCCATACCTGATTTTAACCTATATTGCGCCTGATTTGTTTCCGTAATTATTTTTAGCGCGTCACATTTTTAGTGGTTACGTCACGCGTATAATGATAATGTCACATGTCTAAATGTAGAACGTCAAACTGTGATTTTATTGCATAATAACACAAACTTTCAGTTGTTCTATGTTCAATGGGGAAAAATGCGGGTCGTGTTAGAATTATGAATAATTCATCAAATAGTTGGCCTACAATCTTCTTTATATACAACATAACATTTTAGAAAAAAAAAGAAAAAAGCATTGCAACCTATTGATAAGGCTTGTCACACATACATCTATAATTTTATTAAATATTTTCAGTTTTATCCTCGTCAGCAATGAATAATGACTTCGACAATGTGCAGACGTTGTTGCTTAAGTAATGTGCATAGGAGCAGAATTTTTCTCTTCGAAATTCCTAATCCAATATGAAGGGCAGCCATTAAGGCACAACCTTCTATAGATTTTCCAATAGAAACCCCATTTATAACTAACTCGGACAATAGACTTGAATTTCCCCAATGAACACTTGCCTGTCCGTCTGATTTATCACTGGCAAATTGATGTCCCTTCGCAATGATTCTGTTTTTACTGCTACGTAAAAAGTTTTCATGGTTCTGTTGGTAAAATAATGGTCTAGAGTTTCTTAACTTATTGAATTATTGTCTGAGAAATGTCAGTCTAGGCTATCTTGAGGTTTAAGTTTTGGTCAAGCATGCTTACAGGTTAAGATGAAGAGATACTGAGAATATCATAAACAATTGTTTACAAACACAAAAACATAAAAGGTTATGCTTGTAGGTCAGACTCCACCAAAAGATATGTATTTTGGAAGACATTGCAAGATACGTTACAAGGGTCATTCCATTTGATCAGTATAAATATACAAGTCTGAATCATTTACGTCTCATTCAGATCAAACACGTGACCCCTAGCTATGTCGTACATTTTTTCCTCGATCATTACAAAACAGACCAAGACAACTGAGAATTCTTGTTTCTCGTTACATATAAAATTTTTTCGACATATTTTTTTGTTTGCCATTATTTCCATGGAGAGATCCAATCATTATTGTCTGAGAAAAAAAGAAAACTGATGAACATACTGAGCAGCTATCTACAAAATGAAATTGAATTGTCTCAGAAATGAGAATTTCTTAATTATGGAATTTCCTCGTGTATCCGGTTTCCTGTCATGTAGGTGTGGTCTAATTATTATATATGGGTGTGGTCATGAGAACATCAATTTGAAATACAAAAAATTAAGTTACTAAGAATGAAATGATGAAGCAGAGCAATTCACAAATAATAGCTTTATAGCCACACTAACCCTTAAATTAAAAATGGACTGGTCCAAAATCAAGAAGATGGGCAAGTCTATTACATAAACAATTAAAGAATAGGGTGATTTGAGAAATTAAAAAAAAAGATAAAAGCTAAGAGTCACACATCATGCAGCTTTTTCTTTGCTCCTGACAAAGATTGTTGATTCAAGGATGAATTTGACTTGACAGGGAATAAATTGTACGCCCATTGGAAATGCTCATTTTGTAAGGTCATCACTGTATGACGTTTGACAAAGTGGTAGCTAGGGTAACCTCAAATGTTAATTTGAAATTACATTTTCAAAATGAAATGACCTTTTCAAGATTACAGTGATTTTGTCCCATAAAGATGACCATTTGGTACTACATGTAATTGACCTTTTCCTTAACTTTCTAATTTTGAATGACCGTTGAACTTTGCAGATGGCTTGTGGTGAAGAATTGGTTAGTACAAAAGAAGAAGAAGTTGGAGTTGGCCCCGAGGCGGACCTGGAAGAGGTACTGGGTATGTCTGAAGGGAACAGTTCTCCTGTTTTATGATGGAGATATAGACAATGTCACCATAGAAGAGACAGTTCCTAGACATATGCTTGGTAAGCAGATATTAAGGAAATTTTGTATAAAGATGTGTAAATCTATAATAAGTTATCAGGAACTCGGCAAAATGTGAGTTTCCTAGAGTACAAACTTTTACTGTTCTAGTGTCACGGTGCAGTCCCATTTACAACAAAATAATCAATGCATTGCACATATTATCTTTATATATACCAGGTTATAACTGTAAAAGTTTGTAGTAATTTAACCCTGATTAAACACTGGCAAGGACAGTGTTTAACCCTGTCATCAGGTATGGGGTAGGTTAGCATTCAGTGTAAGGTTGTATGACTTCTGCTGAATTCTTTCTATTTAAACTGCCTTAGTGCTTTATTCTAGATTTAATCACTCAATTTTCAAACTTGACATTACTATTTTACTTATAAGAACTGATTTTAAATTTTCATAAAAGTCAAAACAAATCCTGGGACATTCAGCTTTAAGCATATGGCAAGACATCTGATTGTTACCTATACTGGAAAATATAAAAAATAATAGTTTTTCATGCTTGATTTTCAGTGATAGAAGGAGGGATATCGCAGGCAGTTCCTGAACATCCAAAACGTGACAATATATTCTCCCTTAGCACAGCATTTGGTGATGCTTACCTCTTCCAGGTAATTTCCTGAGAAATTTCATATTTTTGTCCTTATGTTTTCATTACTATTTGTAATAATTTTTAAAGAATTTTGAATATTTTTAACGATGAACCTGCTTTATTTGTGTAATGGACTAGCCCTGCTTTGAATTAGGAACATTTCATTTTATGTTTAAGGGATTTTAATAACAAAATACAAAACTTGATCAACCAATAGTATAGAGCCTGGTCAGTCTGCACAGTTGTCCAGACTTGCCTATCTGTGTAGGATGGCCCTACTATATATTGGGGGCAAAAGGTTAAAACTTCCAGTTTCAGCAGGTTAAAGGGCTAACCAGAAATATATCAATGCCTAAAATAATGAGATGCGAAGCTACTGAAAGTTCCTTCCCCTCTAAAGCCGAAAATTGCTTTATGACTTATTCTCAATTAATAAATTGACTGAAAACTTTTATCTAAGAGATAATTATAATTTTAAAATGAAGTAGAATTTTTACTAAAAAATTGCTTTATTTACAGGCCTCTAGTCAGACAGAATTAGACTCATGGGTTTGTGCAATACATTCGGCGTGTGCTGGTTCATACGCCCGTCAACATGGCAAGGACAATATTGTACGGCTACTCAGATCTGAGCTCCATAAGCTGGAAACAAATATCGATATCGTAAGTCATTCCATACATTTATAAGACACTCTTCAACATGGAGATTTCTGTCTTCAAATTTTGTAATTTAAAGACCATTGAAAATCTTTTGTTCATTTTCTTAATCATTATGTTTAAGCACAATGAAAGTACTGCTAATTATATATATTTAAAAACCATTATATTGTATACTTTATGAATATCATGTAAATACTCTTCAGTCCATAAAAAAATATTTTATCTGACAGATGTACTGTTAAACCCCCCCCCCCCCCCCAAAAAAAAAGAAAAAAAAAAAGAAAAATAGATTTCTTTTTATTACATTTTCTAAATCCCATTTGTCCCTATGGGCAGACAAAGGGAGAACAATTTTCATACAGTGGATAACTATTGCAGTATTGAGCTTTTTTGCACTTATGTAAGAGTTTGCTTTTTCTCGGTTGTCACATTTGCGCACTGACAGAAAGTCTTTTATGTTATAATTATACATCCACACAATGACCTATTTATATAATAATTTGTCCTTTACTTAGTGTAGAAAAGTCAGTCGTGTTTCTTGGTGTTGTAAGAATAACAAGATGTGAAAATTGATATTATCTTTGCCGTCTGCTGCCTGGAAAAGACAAATTAATGAAAGAATCAGATCATGTCATATTTCCTGATATGAAAAGACATGCTTAACATGCATGTAATAAGTTTGTGAACTGTCTGTTGTTCTTGTATATCAAAAATTGATAATGGAACCAGATTTCTTTGTCAGTTTTACAAATATTTTTTTCTTCAACAATTTATAAACCAGTATGTAATCAGAAGTTGAAAATTTCTCATTTTCCTATTGTCTCATGGGAGGTGAAATTTTAAAGTTAGCTTAGTTTATCGTTTATACTATATCCTTTACAGACAGTTCATGAGAAAAAAGTGTCAATGTCTTTTATGGATTCCCCATAAAATAGGGAATGCTGTTTTGTTAGGATATGCTATGATCTGTATGGATTCACAATATTAATTAAACCATTCAACAGTAGAGTGTAGTCAGAATGTGTTGACAACAGTACAGAGTTTTTCATTCAACAGTATAGTCTGTTCAAAATGTCCTAACAACAATACAGAGTCAAATTGCTCTGACAACTGTATAGAGTTTGGTCAGAATGCCCTGACAACAGTCTAGAGTCTTGTCAGAATGCCCTGACAACAGTATAGGATCTGTTTAAAATGCCCTGACAATGGTATAGAGTTTGGTCAGAATGCCCTGACAACAGTATAGACTGGATCAGAATGCCCTGACAACAGTATAGAGTTTTGATCAGAATGCCCTCTAAGGTTGAAGGATTACCTGACTAAACTGGTGAATTAAAGCTTTCATTATTGTCATTAGTGCTTAATTGATTGAGATATAACAAGTTAATAAGTAAAGTTTTTCTGTTTTCCAGAAGAATTTTAATCATACTGATGGAAATCAATCCCCTTTAATTGCTTCCAGACTAAAACCAAGTATAATTCTAACACTTTGATATAAATATTTACGTTTTTGTTTTAGTTCCAACAGTAATATCAATAATGTCTATTAGATGCCCTAGATAGTTTTCTATATTGACACAGTATACTAAGAATAATCGTTTTAACACTTATCATGCTAAAAATCTTAAATGGACTTTTGTCAAATGGACCAACATTGTTCAGGATTAATTTTAACCCTTTCGCTGCCAGAGGGTTATTGTTTTATTGTTAACCTATTTGCCAGAGGGTTTTCTAAGAAATTACTCTATAATTAATTAATATAATTATTATTATTTGTTATAAGTATTATAATAATTATATATGTTTCCAAATCTGTTAATATAATAATATTTATTATCGATGGTATAACTTTCTTTATATTTATTATTACTTTTATTATCATTATTATTTATTTATTATTATTACTATAATAATTATTGAAACGGCTAAAGCCGTCCATATGGCAAATACGCCGAAAATAACAGGGACGGCTTAAGCCGTCCCTATGGCAGTGAAAGGGTTAAATGGTACAGTTCTATTTAACAAAACAATCAAGTCTGGCACTGCTTGTCAAAATATACTTTAATTATTGTCTATCACAGCTGACCCTTAAAATTAATGATCTCAGTATAGGAATGTTAGAATTATTCTGATAACATTTTTTAGGGCAACAAGATTTCAAAGCTTTTAAGACTTATTAAAGGGACTCAACTCAGGTATTTAATTAACTAGAAATATTATTCCAAGATTTGTGTCCCATTTCATATAGGTCTAGACTTATAATTTATATGCAAATTTTCAGGTTATTCCCTTACCTGTTTTTCCCTTACTTGTTTTTCCAAATTCATCATTTTTATTGTGCAAAATGACCAGTGATAGCTTTTGAATGGTAGTTTGTATCTTAAGTCAATTATTCAAGCAAGATTGAAAAATGATTATTTATAGATGTTTAATTCGATCCTGTTTATGATATACTGACAGGACGTTAAGATGCGTAAGATGGCGGAGCTACAACTGACAGTGGTGTCAGACCCACGGAGCCGGCAGGCAATTATAAAACAGATACGCCAGTGGGAGGAGAACATAGAAAAGCTATATATAGAACAGTATCGTCTACGTTGTTACTCAGCTTCAATACAAGGCTCGGAACTCCCAAACCCAAAGGTAATTATGAGGCATTTTTGTGTGACGATATATTCATTATACAGTGTTAACATGATTATTGCACTGTGCTCAAGTTTTCTTGGTAACTATTCTATAGTTAAATGTAACATGGCTTTATCTAGCATTTTTTTATGCTCCCCGAAAAATTTCGGGGGAGCATATAGTCGGCGCCTTGTCCGTCTGTCCGTCCGTCCGCACTCACAGGAGAGTAATTATGTGGCTAGAGGGACAATAGGTAACTGTTCTTTCTCTTTGATGTCATTCATTCCGTAATGCTTTTATGTGGCTATTTTCTTTTGTGTGGCTAAAAAGAACAATAGAGAGAACAATAGAGTAGCCACATAATTACTGTCCTGTGAGAACGTCCGTTCCGTCCGTCCGTCTGTCCGTCCGTTGTCTTGTCCGGAGCATAACTTGAAAACCCTTGGAGATAATTTGTTGAAACTTCATACAGTGGTAGAGGGCATTGAGGGGAAGTGCAGTGTCAAAGAACCATAACTCTATTTTTCCCGGTTTTTTAATTATCTCCCCTTATAGAAAAATCTTGTCCGGGGCATAACTCTAAAACTATAAGAGATATCAACATGAAACTTTGTAGGTGAATAGATCTCAATGGGTAGATGTGCGGTGCATAAGAACAATAACTCTTTTTGTCCTTATTTTGGAGTTATTGCCCTTTGTTTATTTTAACACTTTGAACTTTGTCCGGAACATAACTCTAAAACTATAAGAGATATCAAGATGAAACATTGTAGGTAGATAGATCTCATTGAGTAGAGGTGCAGTGCAAAAGAACCATAACTCTGTTAAGCCTCATTTTTGAATTATCTCCCCTTTTAGAAAAATCTTGTCCAGGACGTACCTGTAAAACTATAAGAGATATCAACATGAAACTTTGTAGGTAGATATATCTCAATGGGTAGATGTGCAGTGCACAAGAATCATAACTCTGCCTTGCCTAATTCTGGAGTTATTGCCCTTTGTTTATTTTTACTTTTTGTATTGTCCGGGACATAACTCGGAAATCATAAGAGATGCCTTGCCTAATTTTGGAATTATTGCACTTTGAACTTTTTCCAGATACATAACTCTGAAACTACAAGAGGTGTACTTTCTGTGTCCAAAACCTATTCGGGGAGCATCACCCGGCTCAAACCGGGCTCTTTTTTAGTTTATTATTTAGTTAACCATTAACCAGAAGCATTAACCAGTGTAATGGCATTGTCCAGATCTGAATATGGGATTTAAATTTGAATTCAAGTTAAAGGTACTTCAATATCAAAATACAAAAATTAACTACCAGCTGTATAGAATTTGGTCAGATTGTATATATTTGCTGGCAAAAGGTGATCAGTTTGGTAAAATATTGAACATTTATAACAAAGAAAGTTTATGTTCTGAAGAAGCCTTGTTATGGATAATAAAGCATGTATATAAGCCAGCCTGAATATTCAATGATCTGTTGAAAGCAGAATGCCCCAGAGTCATGTTTTTTTGTTTTGTGAAAATTTATAAAAGGTTAAAAGAAACAGAAAAATATTGTCATGTATACAAATGAAAAGGTTCTGTCAAGTTTTTGGGCACTAGCCACTGTATAAGTGGATGTTTATGCATCACAAAAATTTTGCGAATGCCAAAAAGTGGACTTTTTGCTTGCGGAAATATTTAAGAATATATGAATTCGTGCATTTAATACTGTTTTTGTGATATCATTAATTAAGCAGGTACATGTTATCGTTCTATTCAGTTGTTGAGTAAAATATTTTGCCATGTAAAGTGTAATTTTATAAAAAAAAAAGAAAAAGCATTTTGAATGATATTGTATATGACAGACAGTTAGTACATGACCCAGTTCAAGAGTACTTCCTTTTAAACAGAATTCAAATATATTGTATTATGTGGCTGTTTAATAAGTGTAAAATAATATTTCTTAGAAAAGTCATTGACTATCTTCCTTGTTACATTGTCTATGAAGTAATTTTTATGAATAATGAAGCATGCCAGCCTCAACATCTAATGATCTGTGGGAGGCAGAATGTTGTCATAATTTGTCATGTAAAATATCTTGTCATTTAAAGTGTCACTTTATTTAAAAAAGCATTTTGAATGATATTTTATGACAGACAGTTAGTACATGACCCAGTTCAAAAGTACTTCCTTTTATTCATTGTATTATGTGGCTGTTTAAATAGTGTAAATATTACTTAGAAAATTACTTGACCATGATCATCCTTTTTACATTGTTTGTGAAGTAATTACACTTGACATACTTTTTAACTGTGATTGTTTAAAGTTCACTCAGGATTTAGGATATAGACACTGTACTGTACTTAAGTTCTCCGGATGGGTTATTGTTGTATACAGTCAAATCTATATTAAAGACCACCACAGAGTAAAGATAATCCTGCTAATAATGGCCACTTTTTTGATAACCCTTTATTGATGAAATGGAATAAAGTAACCTCCAAATAAAGACCACTTATCTAAAAATACTTAGGCTTCCATGTTTATAATGTTTTGTTAACCTTGACTAAAATTATTGCTAAAAACTGAAACGATATCGTTTAAACTATGTACGTGTACTATACTACACATAGTATTCGAGTCACCAAATGATTACTTATCTTCTATTTTTAATACACATACAAATAAATAATGTTTCAGGGCTTATCGCGGGGGAGTCTGTACCAATTTAATACACATTTCGCTCTTTGGAAGGATCAAAGAAAATCAACTTTTATACCTTAACGTATTTAGTTATAATCGATCAGCTATATTTGTTTTTAATGGCCTTGAAAACTCTATCTTATCTTGTTTTTACTGGGCATTAAATCAATCTGAATTGATAAAATTCATGATTACAGGTAATAATTAAAATGTTATATTAAGACAACATCGGCATTTCGTTTAAAAGGTAAAAAATATCGTAAACGTTTACAAATGAAAATCGAAACGAATACATGTAAACGTGTAACCCTGGGGGCCTTTATAAAGACCATGGTTTGTTTCTCCCTTTTGTGGCATTAGTTAACAGGTTTTACTGTACTATGTAATTTTATTTTAAGATATTATCTTTTAGGTATTACTTTCAAACGTGTCAAAGGCGTCCAAGGTTACGTTGAGCAGACTAGGTATATTCACTGTGTCATCATTTCACGCACTAGTGTGTGCTAGGAAACCCCTTGTGATGCCCAGCTTGTATGGAAAGGGGAACCAGAAAGGCGGCCTACTGTCCCCTAGAGGTGATGGAATGTTTAAATATCACAGTAAACATATGAACGCTGCTCCTTCCTCACAGTAAGTGTATCTTATGTTTTACTATATTTAAAGTCATGGTCTCGACAAATCCCTATTCGTGAGTTTTGCAATATTTTTATTAGAAATTTACTCATCTAACTAGCTTGACAAAATCAACTAAGTGCAAGGTTGTGTCAAAATACACAAAGTTGATATACCAGTGTTGTACCATAGTCATATATACATGTATATATACATTAAGGGCATATCAAATTTTCTTATGGCTTACATTTATTTCACGATTCTACAGTACCAAAAAAAGAAAAACTATTTTTGAAATATTAGGGAGAGCAATATTTGACATCTTAAAAAAATACTTTTGTTATACTTTCTTTTGTCTGTCGGTTTTTTGTTATTTATAGATTTTCAGTTAATCAACATTTCTGGAGGTTTACGGTGTGCCACTTTCAGACCTATCAGATGTGCACTTTCCTACCATTTATTTATTAGAGTATTACATGCAGCGCGGTGGCTCGTAATTGTCTGTGCTGTAATTCTATTTACTGTATATATCTTAATAAAAGCTCTTTCAATGGTTGATAAATTCTTTTATTTGACGAAGCAGCATAGCTTGTCTGCAAAAAGTTTGTGGTTCAACTGTGGCAGAAATGATCTTAAGATGGAGGTGTTGCTGGGGGTCTTCCTGCTCAAGTTAAAACTGGAAGATGAAATTTTTTTTGGTTAAAATTGGGTTTTCATTATAATGTTAACTTTGCTATTTATCAACAGATGGGGTGTAAGTGACCCAGTGGTTAAGGTTGTTGACTTCAAACCTCTTGCCCCTCACCTCTCATCAGGGCCTTTGAATTCTTTCATGTGAGGAAGCTGACTAACTTTAAGCTAACTTGCTTATGGAACATCGATGGTTCTACTCATGTGCTTGTTAATGCGTGAAATAATGCATGGAGGGGCACCTTAGGTCTTCCACCACCAGTAAAGCAAGAAAGTTGCCATATGACCTTTACTGTGTTGATGCAACATTAAATTACACCAAAAAATAACATAGATCTTGAAAAAAATTTGAGAGCTATCATATAAAGTGTTAGCTACTTATCAGAAGTCAGTTAACTAAAGTACAGGTGAGAAATATGCTGTTTTTTGCTTAGTATGCAATAAATTGTGGGAGCTGTTATTATAAAATGTATGGTTAAAGTAATAAAATAGCTGCAGTTTCAATGAATCAATAAGCTAATAATTAATTGCCGAAGGATCATGCTGGTTATGTCAGCAACATTTCTCATATCCGGACAGAAATAGACGGGTGTTTTCCAATCTGCTAATTATATTATATTATACCATATAAGACAACATTTTTTTAATGCATTGACATCCCCCTTAATAGCGTGTATTAATTCTTCATAATACACCTCTATAATTATTATGAATTATATCAATCAAATGTGCCTTGAACCAAGCATGATATTTCATAGTAAGCAGTACTCTCTCTGGTCATATGGTGTCTTAATAAGGTAATCCAGTGGGTGGAAAGTAATTAAAGGATGTCTGGTTTACAGTTTTTGTCAAAATAAGGTATATTAGTTAATGTAATTAGGGTTTTTTTTCCTTGTTAAAAATGTGACAAAGAATTTGAAGGATTGTAAAGGGGCTCTTAAATTTACCCATGGCTGTTAGTTGATGAAATTAGATTACATATATACAATTAGACTTCTGCTAAAGACCACCTCTGGATAAAGACAGCATTAAGCTTATACATATTTCATCTTAACCTCTACATAGCAACAACCTTCGAGAGACAAAGAAGGTGGTTGTTGCTTAAGGGTTTTGTTGTAGAGAGGTTAATATTATTGTGAAGTCTTACTTTGGGAAGAATACTCTTGGTCTAAAGAGGTAATTATTCTACAGAGTGCCATTTTACAGAGGTTTTACTGAATATGGATGTACCTGACGCATTTATCTATAAAAAAAAAAGAATAAATTTTAGTCAGTCTTTACCTGACATTAAGTATTTTGGTTCATGAGCACCTGTTTTAACTAAGATTATATTTGTATTGAGATATGGCATGGTTTTTTTACAGGTCAGTATTCAAGGCGGCGGAGATAGATGAGGTTGTAGGAGACATGATGGCCAAGGACGGGAGCCAGTCCCCATCAGGATCTACGGGATCCAGTGAAATACTTTCCAAAGTTACTGTGCCAAATAATCAGGTAGTGAGCTCTTTATATTTGACTCATCTGCATATAGAGTAAACGATTGACTCACTAAAATGACATTTTGAGATACCAGGTACTTTAATTAGGTACAGCTATTAGCTTTCTGTGGGAAGTCATCGCATGCCTAAGTTACACTTATCATATTCTTGTATATAATTTTTAACCCTTGTCCCACTAAATATCCTAAATGGACTTGTCCATGTTTCAATATAGACAGAACGGTCCATCTTTTTTAGGGAAAAATTAAAAATACATGTACATAGTGACTGAAGAGCAAACAGTGCAGACCATGATCAGAAAGTACAGATGTGCTTATGATTATTAGGCAATATTTTTTTTCATAGTGCTATTTCTTGACCTACAGATTATAAAAATATACATGTATTTCTATAAAGTTTATTTACATTATTTTCATTCTTATTATACAGTCTGTGACTGTGGGTATTAAGAAATCTACAAATGCAGAAGATGTATTGACTTATGTGTGCAATAAAAGACAACTCAATCCAAGGGATCACTATGTTCGTGTCCGTCTACAAGGGGCTCCAGAGGGTAGTTACCAGTATCCAAATAGAACAGAAAATATCAAGAAATTGGTAATTATATGTAGTTAAATCAATGATAAATCTATGTGTTGCGACAATGATTATGAGGTGTGTTCTTGGCTGAGTGGTTAAGGTTGTTGACTTCAAACCGCAAGCCTCTAACCGCTGTGGGTTAGAATCTGGACAGGGACTTTGGATTGTTTCATGTGAGGAAGCTTAAGGAACATATGTGGTTCTACTCAGGTGCTTGTTTGTGCCTGAAATAATGCAGAAGATGACTTATATGAGGTCTTTTCACCAGTAAGGCTGAAGAGACGCCATATGACCTATACTGTGTTGGTGTGACATAAAACCCAACAAAAAAGAACAACAAAACAGCTGTACAGAAACTGTATTATGACTCAGCACTTTTCATTTGCTTACTCAGATTATCTGTTTATGATATTAAAATCCCTGAAATTGATAATTGACGGTTTCATCTTGAAAGCAAATAAAGTCTGTTTCACAACTATAGCAGGTTTTGCCATCTGACACACTTGTCAAAATCTTTCATTTACTTAAGGACTGAAAAAGTCACCTACAGTGGTTATCTGTTACTTCTATGGGTAATTTCAATACATATATAAATTCCTAATTTTATGTGAGTTTGACATAACCACTTGTTAAATTGGATGTGTCGTTTATTTTCCAGAAATGTGAGCTTGTAGAGGTGTGTCAGAAGCATATATATCAGGTGGAGTTATGTAAAGGGGAGGAGTTTAAGGATTATGGTTTGAAGATAGAGGCGGAGCTTGCCCAGGACTGTGATAGAGATGATGATCTCAGAATATATGTTGCTGATGTCAGACCTGATAGTCTTGCTGATAAGAAAGGTATGAAACATTGTTTATGCAGATAATTGTTTTTTAGGCTGATATTCAATTTTGGTATTATCTGGGTGGTCGGTCCATCTGATTGGCTTTCCTGGAAAATAACAAATAATCACTGATTTCTCTGCAAGTGACCGACTACTTATCCCACATGATTTCTAAATCAGGGATAAGAGACAAAATGACCATTAAACTCAATGTTACGCAGAAATTTTGCCTCGCTCGAGGATTAAACCAGTCACCCCTGGATAACAAATCCTATGCTCTCTACTTAGGGTATATTGAGAAAGAGTTGTTGAAATAATGGTAAATAAATATTGTGAAATAACTTTTACTTGTTTACAGCACATATTGAACATTTATGTACTTAATTGTTATACAATATACTTGATGTCTCATGTAATACTTGTCAGTGTAATTGTAATTACTAATTATAATAACTCAATGTAATTGTAATTACAGACATTCTTCAAGAATGATTGTCTCTCTTGTATTCCAAGCCTTATTATTTGTCATTCCAGCGTAGAATTACAATTTATATTATATCACATGTTGAAATTGGGATATTATTATGCTGGATATTTACAGTCTTGGCCTGCTTTTCTCTGATAAAACTCTTTAAATGTATTTCCTTGAATAAGCTAAGTGTTATCAAATTAAGATGAAATAAAATATATATTAACAATTTTACGTGAATTTTGTATGAATTACACATTGCAGGTTTGAAGTCAAGTGACGAGGTTGTTGTTATAAATGGGAAGGTTGTGTCTGAGTTAGATATGGTGTTTGTGGAGTCCTTGTTAACTGAATCGGACAGCATCTGTCTAACTGTACGATCCCTATATGCACCAACCGGTAATGTTGCCATAGAAACGCCGGAATCCTGCCCACCTCCTCCTAGTCAGTCACGTATCAGTGATAACAGTATTGATAATCTCAAGATACCACCACCTTCATCAGGTACGATTAACTTGTCGTGTATTTAATTTGAATATTTACATACATGTGATGATCAAGTGGGAGATTTTTCTTCAAAAAGAAGGAGATTTTAGAATTTGCAATAAAAAAAAAAAAAAAGAAAGTTTTGATACCAAAAAGAGGAGATTTCTTTAATTTTTGAAAATACCCCTTATTTTAAGAAAAATCTTTAAAAATATGGCTGTTGAAAGTCGAAGTCTCCCGCTAAAAATGGGAGAGTAGACATGTATGCAGGTATGATTTTGAAAATTAATTATTCATCATCAATAATGATTTTGAATATTGAAAATTTGTTATCGGTTATCATGTATGATTTTGAATATTAATAATTGATCATCAGGTATGATTTTGAAAATTAATTATACGTCATCAATAATGATTTTGAATATTGAAAATTTGTCAATAATGATTTTGAATATTGAAAATTTGTTATCGGTTATCATGTATGATTTAGAATATTAATAATTGATCATCAGGTATGATTTTGAAAAAAAAAAAAATTATTGGTCATCAATAATGATTTTGAAAATTAATTATAGGTCATCAGGTGTAATAATGGTGTGGATATAATAACACACATTTTACTTATTTTATTAGGAAAGTTCCAAGTCAAGTGAGCACATAATAAAATATACTTTCTTATGCTATCACAGATAAATTTATGTGCTTAAATAGTACCTTATATTTTACTTGCGTCATCAAAGTTCAGTTTTGTTTGCACATAAATACATATACTTTTTTTTTGTTATCAAGGGCACATACATTTGTACTAACAAATACTTTGTTTTGTCATCAAGGTTTATATTAAGTAAGCACATTATATCAAGGTTCAAAAAATAATAACATACTTTATTTTGTTATCAAGGTTCAAGTTCAGTCAACACTAGTTGCCATAATTCGCCACATTCAAGCTTACCGAAGCCTAAACTGTCATCGGACCAGGTGGATGCCTTATTACAGGTAATTAATATCTGTCATCTTAGCCTGATGAAAAAATATGTTCCATAGTTTAATAACATATTCAATAATCCAATAACTTGTTTCATAACTCATTGACATGTTCTTTAAATGAATAACATGTAAAATTGTTAATGTTTTTACATACTTAAAAAACATGTTAAATAGTTAAATAATGTTTTGCATACAAATTGGTTAAATAATATGTTACATAGATGAATAATGTATTTCAAAGTTAAATAACATGTTCCATAGTTAAATAATGAATTACATGCTTGGATAATTCTTTTCTTAGTTGAATGCCATGATCCTTAGTTTTATAGTTAGTTCCATAGTTGAATAACATACTCCATATTTAAACAGCATGTTCCATAGCTAAATGATTTATTCCATAATTGTTCCAAAGTTGATTTATATGTTCCATACTAGACAAACTACATGTTCCATTATCTTAAATTTTATGTTTTGTATAACTTATGCATGGGTTATACTTTACATTTGTTTGTTATTAAAGGGAGCTGACCAGGTCACGGCTATATGTCGGGAATCTAATGATGACAGCACAGGAAGTATTAACCGACAGTTGTCTGAGGTAGAGAGATTGCGGAAGGTTATTATGGAGTTGGTTGATACAGAAAAAGCTTACGTCAAGGTAAGATTTGTATCATCTCTTTCATGGGACAACTATTTAAGTTAATTGAAAAAAAAGCTCAATAGAGCTTATTTTGTACTGTTCTAGACTTGCCAACTGAAGATAAAATTTATCTTCTGCTCATAATTTTACTTTCTGTCATGTATAGGGATAGTCATAAAGCATTTAAAATAAGTGGAATGGATATATAAAAATGACAAACCAACTAAGGGCTAAAGGGAAGTAAATATGGTAACTATTAGAAATTTTTTCCAATCTGATTGTTTCCCTTTGACTTATTTAATTCATAAATAACTAACTTTTTATAATAAAAGTGTGATACATTGAAAAGATTAATTAAATTGTTGAAGGTAGTTAAGGTCACTGACCTGGGACCACTCTACAAAGGGACTTCTTTCATGTAAGGAAGATGTCAAGCTAGCATTTTGAAGGTTGGTTGTTCTACTATTGTGCCTGAAATGAAGGACACCATCAGTGAAGCTGGAAAGTCACCATATGACTTTCACAGTGACAGTTTGTCTTACAAACTTCAGGAAATTAGAATTATTTATGTAATTTTTGATTACCTCTTATCTTTATGGAACTGAAAATAGATTGGCCCCTGGCTATATTGTTGGTGGCTCGATTTTTGTATAATTTTGAAAATAAATTCCTAAATTTTGAATTGACTGTTTCAAACTTTGGGCAAATTTTTCACAATCTCAGCAGATTGTGGGTTATTCAAAGTTTAATTAACATACTGGGTTATTTCAGGACCTTAATTGCCTACTGGAGAGATATGTCGAGCCTCTTAAAGAGGAGATGTTCCTCTGTGCTGATGAGATAGACCATATATTTGGTAATATACAGGAGATAGCCTTGTTTCAGCGACAGTTCCTACACAGTCTAGAGGAGGCCATACAGTTAGATAGTCCTTTCTTTCAAGGCACAGACATCAAACATTACCGGGTGAGTATGATTGAAATCTACGACTATGCTCGTGTTCGGTCTACTGGCTCCCCCTTCCTTTACAGCACTGCCAGTTCACTAGCTACACAGCATGTAAAAAAAAACTTCTCAGTGAACATGCTTGGACATTTGCATTTTGTGAAAAATATAGGAGTAATGGCCCCTGGAATAGAAGATTGCAATACAATTTTTGGCTAAATAATACCTGTGTGTTTCAGCTTTGTTTATAGCCATAATTATTTTTAGTGGTTCGAATCTCATGTTTTAGGTTTATTGTAAACAAGTATTTTTGTGTAGGCCAATTTCTTGAATATTAGAGATTTTCATATTTATTTCATGTGAAACCATATAGAGGTCTTTTACACTTAAAGTACTCAAACTTAGAGTGCTCAAACTTTTTATTCTTACAACAGATTATTTGAAATTAGCTGGACTTTTCCATAAGAGATGTTATTTTATGTGTCTTTCATTTTACAGATAATATTTTCTTATACATTGCTTTTTTATGACCAATTAGAATTAAAATCATAATAGAATTGCTGTATTCATTAAATATCACTTAACAATCAAAGTGTTAATTATCTTTTTTCCAGATTTGATATACTCTTAAAAATTAAACTATTTCCAGAATGTTCTATTTCTTTATAACTTTCAATATTGTTAATGAATTATTTTCTTTTTTAATTCAGCTGTACTTTCTCTTTGTAAAATTCATAACTGTTGTTCCAATTTTGAACTATGCAAACAGATCAGCTGTTGTCTAATTTTCTACAGATGTACGTTTTTTTAATACAAGTGTGTTATTTTTAACCGTGGCATGAACTTTTTTATGCAGATGTACTATCTCTTTGTACTTTTTAACACAGATGTACTATTTTTTTACTTCTAATAAATGCAAATTAAAGGAAGAAGAAGTTTTGGTATGGTTTGCTAGCTGTGAATAATTGTTGTACTTTATTGTTACATCATTCATAACTGTTGTCCTAGGATGTAGAATCTCCCACCTTTTTTCTCCTAAAATATATGTTAAGTTTAAACAGAACGTTGGTGTGATTGTATAATGTTTCTTACTCAATGAAACAAGCAATTTGTATGATTGTTTAATGTTTCTTGCTCAAGGAAACAAGTCATTTGTATGATTGTGTAATGTCTCTTGCTCAAGGAAACAAGTCATTTGTATGATTGTGTAATGTATCTTGCTCAAGGAAACAAGCCATTTGTATGATTGTGTAATGTCTCTTGCTCAAGAAAACAAGCCATTTGTATGATTGTGTAATGTTTCTTGCTCAAGAAAACAAGTCATTTGTATGATTGTTTAATGTGTCTTGCTCAAGGAAACAAGCCATTTGTATGATTGTGTAATGTGTCTTGCTCAAGAAAACAAGTCATTTGTATGATTGTTTAATGTTTCTTGCTCAAGGAAACAAGCCATTTGAATGATTGTGTAATGTCTCTTGCTCAAGAAAACAAGCCATTTGTATGATTGTGTAATGTTTCTTGCTCAAGAAAACAAGTCATGTGTATGATTGTGTAATATTTCTTGCTCAAGGAAACAAGTCATTTGTATGATTGTTTAATGTTTCTTGCTCAAGAAAACAAGTCATTTGTATGATTGTTTAATGTTTCTTGCTCAAGAAAACAAGCCATTTGAATGATTGTGTAATGTCTCTTGCTCAAGAAAACAAGCCATTTGTATGATTGTGTAATGTTTCTTGCTCAAGGAAACAAGCCATTTGTATGATTGTTTAATGTTTCTTGCTCAAGGAAACAAGTCATTTGTATGATTGTGTAATGTTTCTAGTTCTAGGAAACAAGCCATTTGTATGATTGTGTAATGTTTCTTGCTCAAGGAAACAAGCCATTTGTATGATTGTGTAATGTTTCTTGCTCAAGGAAACAAGCCATTTGTATGATTGTGTAATGTTTCTTGCTCAAGGAAACAAGTCATTTGTATGATTGTGTAATGTTTCTTGCTCAAGGAAACAAGCAATTTGTATGATTGTGTAATGTTTCTTGCTCAAGGAGACAAGCCATTTGTATGATTGTGTAATATTTCTTACTCAATGAAACAAGCCATTTTTGTATGATTGTGTAATATTTCTTGCTCATGGAAAGAAGCCATTGTTATGACTGTGTAATGTCTCTTGCTCAAGGAAACAAGCCATTTGTATGATTGTGTAATCTTTCTTGCTCAAGGAAACAAGCCATTTGTATGATTGTTTAATGTTTCTTGCTCAAGGAAACAAGCCATTTGTATGATTGTGTAATGTTCTTCCTCATGGAAAGAAGCCGTTGTTATGACTGTCTAATGTTTCTCGCTCGAGAAAACAAGTCATTTGTATGATCGTGAAATGTTTCTTGCTCAAGGAGACAAGCCGTTTGTATGATTGTGTAATCTTGCTCAAGAAAACAATGGTTTGCCTCTGTCGAGGATTGAACCCACAGAACCAGCAATCCTTAGATTATGAGTCTGACATGTTACCCACTGGGTCACACTGCGAAAGATATTTTTAGTTTTTAATATCAAGAATAAAAGTTTAAAAAAGAGTGTATCTCTTTGATAAAAGGTTTTGATTCCCATTTTATTTCAATTTATTTGTGTTTTTGATGTTGTTGATTAGGACCGTAGACCTGTACATCTGACAATGCTCACTAAACACTCTAGGTAATAATATTTAAGACAAGCTCCCAGTCTTAAATTTAGGGATTGATCAGTATATTTTAGATACACAATTGATCTGACCAATTCTGTCATTCATGAAATATAAGGGAGTACATGTAGTTACTATACCACCTTTGCTCAGGTTACATAAAAGTTATGATGTAAATGTATATGTATTGTTGGATATTTTTATACTATTTAGAGTCTTCTTGTTCTTTTTTTCTCTTTATAATTTCCTGTTATCTTTATTTCTGTCTGTTTTTCTATATATTTTTTACTGTATTCCCTCATTGTTTATTTTTTAATTCTTGTATGTAGTATTCTAGATTTACTTTATTCTTTCTTTTTTGTCTTTGTTACTTAATTGACAGTGATCTTTTAGTGTTTGTGCTGTGTTTATCTAAATTCATGCTATGTCTTTTTATTACTCCCTCTCTGGCAATGTTTAGCACATCTTTGAATTTGCCCATTTTTAACTAATTTATAAAAACTTTTTTTATTTAAATTTCTCTTTCCTTAAGCCACGTTCTACAGTATGATTTAGTAATAATGGTTTTATACCATATTCCCTATTTTATTCTATTTGTAGTCGTTAACTTCAAACCACTTGCCCCTCACTGCTGTGGGTTTGATTCCCAGCAGGGACTTTGGATTCTTTCATATGAGGAAGCTATCTAGCTAGCTTACAGAATATAGTTGGTTCTACATGGGCACCTGTTCGTGCCTGAAATTATGTATGGAAGGGCTCCTGATACCAGTTAAGCTTGAAAGTTGCCATAGGACCTATTGTGTTTTGGTGCGACCTAGCCTAACCCCCCAAAACAACTATTCTCTTTGTATATCCTTTTTAGTATTGTTTAAAGACCTGTAAGTGTTTGTTGCCTGGCATTAATCATTCACACATCTCCATTGAAACTACAGGGAAATCTGTTTCAAGTCAATTGTTACACAATGCTACAGGTTCAAATCCCACTAGGTTCTCTAGATATTGCATGTGAGGAAGCAATCCTGGTAGCTCAGATATGGTTGATGGTTGTACTCTGATGACCACTTGTTTCAGAAATAAAACATGGAGGGACACCTCAAACCATAATGCTTGAAACCGACATATGACTGAAGGCCACACCAATTAATCAGTCAATTAAAATCATAAATCACCGTTACTTCAAGCTTAATGTGTAACATCGGTGCACTGCACCCATGCAGAATTGTTCAAATTATTCCATATCATCTTTTTTATCAATCCTGTTGAATTCAGGAAAAACTTTACTTCTCATAGGCAGACAGACAAATTATCACTTTGAAATTTTAACCCATATTTTTGCTATCTTTATTCTTTAATGGCACCTCCCCTTCAGATTTGTGTTTTTTGAATTATACTCCTTTCTATTTGTATATTCTCTAATGACACTTTTATGTTCTCATGTGGCTGTTTTTTTGGGTGTCCCAGTGTTACATGTATCTTACCCCATTTGTCTCTGTTTAAGTCTTTTTACCAACTGTGCGCTATTCTTGTAACAGTTTAAAAGAAGGATTTTTTTTACACCAGGTCTTTCCTGTAAAACATCTGTCATTAAATGAATATATTATGTATTTGATTAATTGGAGTTTTATGATATAATTCATACAGATAATTGTGAAATTTGACCAATTATTAGGTAGAATTTACCAATTATATTAGGTGGTATTTACCAATTATATCAGTCGGAATTTACCAATTAAAAATTATTAGGTGGTATGTACCAATTATATAAGTTGGTATTTACAAATTATATAAATTATTTATTTATGGCAATACCAGTTTAATTAGGTGGTATTTTTATATATTTTTGTAATTCTAGCTTTATAAAAACTATATCTTTATATTTCAGAGAGTGTTGTTTTCACTTGGAGGCTCATTTCTGTTCTACGCCAATCATTTTAAAGTTTACAGTTCATTTTGTGCCAGTCACTCAAGATCTCAGAAAATACTCAATCCAGGTATGTTTGTCTGTTATTAACCCTAATTACGCTGCTGGAGGCAACTGAATCTCCACATGCGACAAGTGCAGACCAAGATCAGACGGCACTGTGCATTCTGATTATGGTCTGTACTTTTCACGTCAATCATGACCGATTTTGAAAATTTCTCCCCAAAAATGTAAAAATGGTGAATAAAATAGATAGACAAGGTTATTTAAATAAGCTTGAATTTATCAGTGTTATTTATTTAATGGAAAACCCCAATATAGAATAGAAATGTGCTCAGGTAATACTGGATTTTCTTTAATCATCGCAAAACAACAAGCATGGTAAAATATTATAATAATTTCAGATACAATTAACGAGAAGTTGAAAGAATTTCTGATAGCAAGAAATCCAAAGCATCAGCACTCGTCGACCCTCGACTCGTACCTGATCAAACCTATACAGCGAATACTCAAATACCCACTACTTCTACAACAGCTCTGTAACCTCACTGATCCTGATACTGATGAACATCATCATTTGTCAGGTAACATTCTCATTTGTCAGGTAACATTGATATTTGTCAGGTAACATTGTTATTTGTCAGGTAACATCATCATTTGTCAGGTAACATTATCATTTGTCAGGTAACATCATCATTTGTCAGGTAACATTATTATTTGTCAGGTAACATTATCATTTGTCAGGTAACATTATCATTTGTCAGGTAACATTATCATTTGTCAGGACACATTATCATTTGTCAGGTAACTTTGTCATTTGTCAGGTAACTTTATATGCTGGTTATTTGTCAGGTAACATTGTTTAATTGTTACATGCACTTGTCAGGTACATTGTTAAAGATTTATTTGTAAGATAACATTGTTGAATTGGTATTTGTCAGGTAACATGATTTAATTGTTATTTATATGTTGACATTGTTCAATTGTTATTTGTCAGTTGTTATTTTTCTTGCAACCTGAAATTTTATCTGTCAGATGACATTGTTATTTGTCAGGTAACATTGTTAAATCATTTGTCAGGTAATATTGTTGAATTATTATTTGTCAAGTAACATTGTTATTTGTCAGGTTATGTTGTAAAATTACATTTCATAACATTTAACATTGGATTATGAATATTTATACTTAACTGTTAATATATTTTTCATTAGTTTGATACATGTATTTTAAATACATATTTTACTGAGCTGGCTTACAAAACATTTGTGGGTTTTACTCAGGTGCCCATTCATGCCTGAAATAATGCCCCACCTGAGGTCTGCCTCCACCTGTAAAGCTGAAAAGTCTTTATATGACCAGATCTATGTTAGTATGATGTAAAACTTAAAAAATACCATCTAGTGGTATGCCCCTTTAAGATTGTGATGAATAAGGAAATATTTTATTTTATATTTTACAGAAGCAAGAAAGGGTATGGAAGCTGTGGCTGAACATATCAATGAAATGCAAAAAATCTATGAAGAATACGGTGCAATATTTGACGAGCTTTCTAAAATGTTTAAAGAATTATATCCCGCTAAAAAGGTATGTATGTATGTATGTGTTAGATCTTGATTGTGATGGGGGGGGGGGGGGATAAGCATTTCTAACCTAAATTTGTGAAATAGTCTTGCCTGACCTTGAATTCGAATCAGTCCATTAGTGGTTAAAGGGATTTCAATATCAGAATAATAATTTAGAGTAGCCAATGGTGAAAAGTGGTCACATTGGTCTTAATGAGTTTATTTTGGTAATGATCTGGATTTTATTATTTTTGAACTGTATATGGACAGTTTTGTAAGTGACTTGTAATTGGTCAAAAGAATGAAATTTATTTTATTTCTTTCAGTTTGGTTCACTATGAAAAAATTGTTGGTCTGTTAACTTATCGTGTTGCTTGTTACAGTTATATATTGCACAGATTCAGCATTACTGTTACGAAATTTCTTTCATTATTTTCACATGCCTGCATTATGATGCTATGATTGTGAAATATTTTTTTTTAATGGACTTGTCCATCTTGTAATCTGGACAATACCATTCATCATTTGAAGGGGAAATTACAAAATATCACCAACCGAATGACCAACAGTGGAGACCATGATGAAATGGCACAGTTGCATGGATAGATAGATTCATTTGCCACTAGCAGGATCGAGATTAATCAGTTTTCAGTCTAGTTGTTCTGTGCATGTTTAAATAAATGTAGATATAAATGTATTGTATTTTGAATTTATAGGCAGTTGATTTGAGCGTTGGAGAGTTACAAATGTATGGTACAGTTGAATGGTCTAATGTTGCTGACAGTCTGGGTAAAATCAAGAAAGGGACAGAACTGGAGAGTACAGTGTTTGTTTTCAAGACAGGAGTTGTCTTTCTTTGTAGAGAAAGATTAAAAAGACGGAAAACTCGGGTGGTGAGTTAGAATATATTTCAGTTTTTATGAACCCTTTAAAACTGTGCTTGTTTTATCAGTCTGACCAAATGGCTCAATAGGGACAGCATCTAATTAGTATCTAGGGGTTGCTGATTAATCCTAGGTCAAGGTAGAATTTGGCAATGTAACCAGCGTTGTTTCTCACTGCTGATTCAGAAATCATTTGGGATGTGCAGATAGTCATTTGTGGAGAAATGGGTAAATTATTTACCCATTTCTCCACAAATGACCATCTGCACATCATTTACTAAATAAAAGCCATATAAACAAAACAAACAAACAAGTTTTGTTAAAAGACACATTTCATTGATACAATGATAGATTATTGTAATTAATTTATAAGTAAACAAAAATACAGTACTCATGTACCTTTAATACATTAAAAGTATAAAATGACATGATAATTTAATACAATGACATGATGCTAGAAAATTATATATTTACATAAATTAATTCTTGCAAAAATTTCATCTAACTTGAAATTAAGTTTTCTGCAACCTTGTACTGTTTTGTCAGCCCCTGATTTTGGGTATCAATTATTTACGTACATTATGCTTATGTTACAGGGGACTGGTTCTGGTAGGGGATTATTCAGTGAAAGTTATGACACAATTGAAAGGTTCCGTACACTGATTCCGGTGCAAGATGTTCAGGTGCGGCTAGGAAAAGTTAACGATTTAGATGGTCATTACTGGTGGGAGCTGGTTCATTCTAGATCAGATCCGGAATGTAGACCGGAGCGAGTATACCAGTTCTGTAACAGGTAAACATTTTCTTTGTTTCATTGTAACAAACCAGTAATGTAGAGATGAAAGGTACAGAGAATATGCCTTTGAGAGGTGAAAGAGATCTAAGTGACATTTTTATTGGACGAAATAATCACTTACATTCACAATTTTGTTGGACCAAAAGGTGGTCATTTTAGAAAGGTAGTCCTTGATTAAAGGTCAGTTTGCACTTGAGGAGTTCACATCACAGTACATGTATATCCACTTTTGACTAAGTTTTGTCAAATTTGATTTGGGGCAATTTTACTTGCATGGTTCTTTCTCAATTAATGACCTTGTCAAAATGCACCTAATTGGAGTGTATGGATTTTGATAGCATTTCTAACCTTATGTATTTTCTATATTCTGATATGAATATTAGTTTCAGAACAATTATTAATAATAATGTTGATTTGTAAGATTAGATTTGATTGGACTAAATTCTGATGGGATTTTATTTTTCAGTACAACGGAAGCTAAAACAGACTTTATGAGAATTATTAGACAAACAATTAGAGATAGTGTTCGTAAAATGACTGTGCCATCAGGCTCTCGAGATAGTTTAAAAAGTAAATACATTCCGTTTGGTGGTAAACGTCTCGAAGCATTGTCTTCTAATCCACGCAGTACGCTCAGCAAGAAACGTAACTCTTCTAGTAATAAAAACCAAGACGAAAGACATTCAATGGAATTAGATGGAAAATTTAGTGTCGACGATGATGGTGTATTCAGAACAAGAAGTAAAACTGTCGGAGATTTGAACGAAGTAAGTTGTGAAGACGGAGATGATGATAATTATCTACCTGCGTCTGCTTCACAGCCGCAAATACCTCAAAACGGCAATCACAGTGAAACTTCTTCTTGTTCGAATCTCAGCCTGTCTAGTCAGTCGGGATCCTCCGCTAAATTAACATTTGCCAGTGCTAATCCACTTAAATTCTGTAGTGCCCAATCTAGAACACCACCCTCTTGTTCCCCAATTTGGAAGCCAAGAAATGAAGCGAATGTTATAAAGCAGCAAGAATTTCTTGCTTCCAAATTGGAGAAAGGGACAGATAGGCTGAATCTTGATGATAAACATAGTTCTTTGAAAGATACAGAATGTTGATTTGTTATCCTTTTTTATCTTACAAATTTGAAAGAAATATAAGGACATATAATATTGTTATCCTTTATTGAATTCATCTTGCTTTGAAAAAATTAATGCAGTATGAAGATTTTTATGGATTCTTTATCTTTTTTGAAAGATTTTTTCCGTTTTTATCTTGCTTTTAAAGATAAAGACTGCCTTTTTATCCATTTTGTATCTTGCTATAAAATATTGAAGAAAGAAATTAATGAAAAAAGTTATTTAAAATTATTTAGTTTTAAATACCCCCCCCCCCCACTTTTCCAATGGCTGTGTGTTTTTTGTTATGATATTATTGTATTTATTTGTATATTTTGTACAGTTAATCTCCACTTGGTGCCAAAATATTTTAGGAATTATTTTCTGCAAAAGAACGACAGTTCTACCCGATGTTATTTTGTATTTAATTACAATTTATTTAATCCTTTGTTAGTATGTATTGATTTACTGCAAAATGGTGAAATTTTGTGGGCACAATATGTTTAGAGCACAATTTTTTCTGAGGACCAGAATCTCTGGATTTATTTCAATGTCATTACTAAGGTGATAAAAGTTTTTGAATGGGAAGCTGATGAATATTCATATTGTAATTGTTTATTTACATTTATTTGTTATAATGTTTTTATTAAACATCTTTAAAATTCACAAAAATTAACAGCCAACAAAAATATCAATTTTACAGTAATATATAATGAATTGATGCAGTTTAGTGTTCAACAGCCAAGTTTTATCAAAGTTTACATATTTCCTTCTTTAAATCAGTACTGGTATATAGGAAAATGACTAAAAAGTGACAATTGTTTTGTATGTATTGATATTATATTTTGGAAGATATATAATGAATGTGTGTGTTACATTACAGAGTGATTTAGATGAATCTATGGAGGAATTTGTTTGAGTTTAAGTGTACTTTAATGTATTGTACACGAGGTCAGGTAATATACATATGTCTCCTTGTCAAACACTTGTACCCACATAATCTCTGATCAGTATTTCCGGTTTTCTTCTGTTATATTTCTGCAGTCATATTGCTCCGGTTATATTTCTCCACTCATATTTTTGTGATGGTATCTTTCTGGTCGCATTTCTGTTAAATATCATCATTAGTTTTTGTTTTCCTTGAAGTTCTCATTTTGATAATTACCCTGTTGGCGAAATAAGTTTATAAAGTGAAATCTACAGTTCTATCACAGCGTCTGCTTTAACTATGAGTAAAGAATGTTTTTAAAATGTTTGACCATTAATTAACTGAATTTCTTAAATAGATTTGTCCCAACTGTCCATTATCAATTTTTGAGAATCATTTGCGCAAACTGTTTGTTTCTGTTTCGGCGCCATATGACCTAAACTGTGTTTGTGCGCCGTAAAACCAAACAAAACAAAAGCGAAGTGCAGACTTGTTCTATACTGGTAGTAAAGGCTTATTAAATTTATCAGAAATTTTTTTAAAACTGTCTTAAAACACAGAATAAGTCACAAGAGGGACTTATTTATTTCTATTTTAACATGCTTGTTGAATATTCATTGTAAATATAGCATGAAGTAGTGAATTAAACATGTAGAAGGTCTGACATAATACAGTGCTATATCAATCCTTATTCAATTATGATAAACACCATTTCCCTGCAAACAATATTTATATATAATATATACGTTATTTTATTTGTAATAAATAGTTTATTTATGTAATATAAAAATAATATGAAAACTATTTTACAGTAGCGCATGAAAACTAGACGAAAATGACAAAATAAGATGAAATGTTAACTTCAACGAAAATTCACAAACATTTTAATTTGGAATTTCACAAGCATTTTAATTTAGAATTAGTGTGGATATGTTGTTAGAAAATGGAAATGGAAAATGTTGTTAAAGAAATGGAAATAGAATCAGAGGTTACATGATACGAGTATTTGACAATTGTGGGGTAACATTGTATGCTTGAGCAACTTTTTCCTCCCAGTTGCTTACAAACACTGTTATGTTCTTTTCCTATGTTTACATTCTGCTCAGCCAGTTTACAAACCTTCTTTTTGAAGAGTCTTTTGCTAAATTTCAATCTGATGCTTTGTGAAACCATATTCTTAAAGACGTAATTTTTGGTCATAGAATTGCAGGTTGAAACTTGCACAATATTCTTTTCTTGAAACAATTTTAAAAAAAGTTTTGGAGACCATGATGTGTTTTGCTTGGTTTATGTCGAAAATGTATTTAATATCTATCAAAATCATTCTGTTAAAGTTTTTAAAGAATTTGTTAAAAGAAAAATAGAACTAAAGTGAATTGATATCATAAACAGGGTATTTTATAAACACACAAAAATCCCAAAGTAGTTCAAAAACAAAACAAAGGCACAAAAAAGTGAATTGGAAGAAAAAGTGACTGGGCAGAATTAACATGTATCTTAGTGTATTTTTAAGTTTAACTTTATCTATTTTAGCTCCAATGTTTCTTCAAGGTCACAAAATATTTTTATCCACATTATGTCAGTAATATTACCGTTTTGTTTATCTATAAGGGAATATAATTTTTATTTTTGATTTAAAGCAATTTTTTTAAAACTTGGAAATTACATTTATAAGCACCTAGATTCTTCAATGTTTTGTTAGATTTATTTTGGAATAAGGGGTTACAATTATTTCCAAACCTGTTTAGTTCAATTTACTGTTTGATCCACAATTTTAAATTTACTTGCCACTTAAGAAACAAAATATTTCTTGTACTCAGTAAAAACGAAGTTAAATATTTGAAGAAAAAAAAATTGTTAAATCATAAAGTGGCTAGAAAATCTAGATTCTGAAATGTTGGATCAGACAGTATATAGTTATATAGAAAAAAATCCTGGTAGGAGTAAAATGTAATAGCCATTAATGGCAAAAATTATAGAGGGAGTTAAATGTAATAGCCATTAATATTAGAATTGGCAGCTAATCTGTTACAGCAGCCATAGTCCTACCCCATTGCAATGTTTAAATTTTGTGCCATAAACAAAACATTATCAGTTTTTCATATCACACCATACTTTAAATAAAATTACATTCTCATTTTTACATACTTGACCATTTTTTGCATTTAAAGATGTACAAGTTTGAAGTTAACCACATAAAACATAGACTATCAAGTTATAGATTTGTAGATTTTGATTTTCAATGTCTGTTGTAAATTCCTGCTTTAAATTCCATGCAGTGTTAGTTAATACTTTCAAATTGTGTTTCCATTGTTCTATTTATATAGAAGCACAGTATCACCTTTACTGAATTTTTGATATTGTAAAAATTAATTGATTGAAATGATACAAACAAGTGGAATAAATGGCTGAATTGCTGAACTAAAGTGATTTACAGTTATGTGGGTTATGAGGTCAATCTAAGCATAATCCCTCATAAATATGTAAGGCTGTATATTTTAGCCATAATTTTTTTCAGTAATTATTGTCCATGAATAGTTACCTCTAGTAAGGACTGAAAAAGTGAAGATTTACAATAATGGAACATCTTTTCCAAATAGAGATATTTTATCAAATATAATCAAATCTAAATTTCAAAACATGAAAGTTGATTTTTCTGCCGAAAGGCCATCTAAAACTGTAAAATTTACTGGGAGGAACTGAATATAAAAAGAATTTTCATTGGTCATTTTAAAATTGCAAACTGAAATATGGGAATTTCATTGGCTATTCCAAAATGAAATGTAAAGGATAGTTCTTGTTTTATTTTAGGAAGGCACCTATCTTATTAGGGACCAAGATACAAACGGTTTTTAACAATCATATTTTTTTATTGTTAAGTTGGTCCATAGGTTGTTTTTTTATATGTTTTAAGATTATTTTTTTCATCAGTTTTATTTTACATGAAGACTTCTGTGTTATTTTATGACAGGATAGGGTTGACCAATTTAAATTCAACTATTGTTGTACAGAACAATATCATACTCATTATGATTTATATGTCCCTTTTTTGATTATCTTTGACTAGGACTCACTCACAATCAGTTTACATGTGTAGATATATGTTTAAGATAATGGACTTGTTGTGGAAGTCAACAATCTACTTGCAATTACATATTCTTATTTGTTCTTGTTCTGTAGGCAATCTTTAGCCGGCCATTATGCATAGACAATCATTGTTATAACAGTATTTGTAAGAAGTATTTAAAGGGAATTTACTATTTAACTGTACAATATGGCAACATATTTGAATACTATATTGTCCAACACAAGAAATATATTGGAGAGTGACATATACAAGATGGGAATATATTTGACTACTATAGTTTTCAATACAAGAAGTATATTAGATTATGTCATAGTACAATTCAAATGAATAAGGGACAATAGGTAAATTAACTTTATGAATGCATACTCACACTACCATTTGCTAGTTATTATAAGTCAAAAAGAGCAATTGTAATTCAACAAGGTTTATATAGCAACACATGTACACGAGATACTAAGAATCAGATCCTCACAATGGCATGTAAATTCCTGCTGGTTTGACAAATCTTATAATATTTTATGCTTTAAGTACTCAATCATAGTAAACAATTCACTGAACACAATCATTATTGCATACTTCCCAACATTTCAATGCCCATTTATATTCTTTATATTTTTGTATCTTGATTTTAAACAGTTATGAGCTTTTCTGCAGCTCAACAGACAATGGATTAGAAATAAGCCTTTAAAGTAATTACATGTATTTTGCCTGCTATTTCAACATTCACTTCATGTAAAAACACTTAAATACACACAAATGCAGCAATTTAATCACATACCTGCAGTTGAATAAATACAATTTTATTGGCTTCTTTGGCAATTGCAAACTGCTTTCCAGCTATTAATTAGCACAAATAAGTAATTTTGCATTTAAGCATTATGTAATTGAAGGGAAATTATGATTACCATTACAAGTCCGTTATCATTACTATTGCACAGTTTTTTGCAATATTGCAAGTTAGTTTTGTACTCTACCATGTGAAAGCTTTTGTACACATCTTTTGCATGGACTTTAGATCTGATATTTAATGCATTTATACTGTTGCATTTTGTTGCATGTATTTGTACAGAGTTAACGATTTCATGTTCTTTTCACTCTATTTGAGAAAAGAAAGTATTTCAGAATAAATTTTCTTAGTATACAATAATACATATCTTTTTATTTCTTTTCACTTGTTATTATTTTTGAATATTTTTTCCTTTTTACATGGAAAAGTATTTCTAACATTGAAGAAAGAACAATTAAGATATATGCACTTCAACGGAAGAAAAGTACATAAGATTTGATTTGGTCCTATATCAAGGAGGCTATTCTAAATTCCTTGATTTTGATTGGTTTTTAGCCGAAATTTAAATTTGAAATGGGCCAATGGTTAAACAGTAATCTAAGACTGGTCCTTAAATTTTAAATCAAGAAAAAATATGTATTTAGATTTATGTTGTGGAACAGAAATCTAGGAGATATATATTTTACGAACATATTTAATGCACAACGAAAGAACAGTGATTGCTGTTCTCTTTGTTAAGTTTTAGTGATCTTTGACATTTCACGGTGTTGATTTTCTGAGAACACTGTTAATGCATGAACTATGTAAGAAAATCGTCTGCTGTAACAGCATTATAGTCTCTACAACCAGTATAACTAGTAAAATCTGTCAACAATTTAATGAAACCATGATGCTTATACTTACCCCCACAGAAAACAAGTTATGTTACGATGAATAGAGACTATGCAATTTTCCTTTCTTGCCATTTTGTTGAAATCCATCGGATGAACCTCAGTCACTTTGGAGTATATCATAAGACCTTAACATTGTAGACTAAAACACAAGAGAGATGAAGAAAAGTCTTAGCCGAATCCAGCTTTTACTCTTTTGTCAAATGTGTGAACGAATAACATAATTTAAATACAGAATTTGAAGTTATGTTTGTGATAAACATATTCAAATGTATTTATGTGTGTAAAACGTACTCCAGATTATACATTGCTTGTTCAAATTTCGTTCTTTTGCTCAACTTTTACTAAAATATTTTATGCAATAGTGTGAATTGTATTATATTCCATTTAGGTATTAGGTTGACTGATTTCCAAGCAGAGACAGATGAATAAACTTCTACAGTTACCAGGACGGATGAAAGATACAGAGGAACATGTGATGATTACGTCACAAAACTAATGATGACGTAGCAGTGCCAAGACGTGAACTTTACTTGGATGAAACAAAGGAGGAAAGGGAACTAAATCTTCAACCTACTTTTATTAACATATCATTCCTATGGAGAAAATAGGGATAGTATTGTAGCAAAATAAATACATGATGTAACAATTACATTGCACATTTAAAATGTACATTTATGTGAAATGGTAATAAACAATGTACAATTTAAAACACAGAAATCCGCAAAATCCGCAATCCATATTCATATGTACATAACAGGCATAGTGAATTGTATTATTAACAAGTTGCATAGCTTTGTGGCTTTGTCAATCGAGTAATGGAAGTTTCAACTATTTTCATCTATTTTTGACCATGTTTAATTCTGGGTGTATTTGAGACAAGGATGGTTTGATTATGTGATTTTATAACAGTATTGTCTTCTTTTACCGATCAAGGTTGAAGGTGCTTCCAGCAATTTGTTCGGTTCATTTTGCATGCATATATCATGCATATGCATATCTTAGTCTCTACCAGTGATCTAGTGACATCTTTTTTATTTGTGAACTTTGAACATTTCACGTCTTTGCAACATATTCAATTTTTACTGTGTTATTATTGTACATATTTGTTAATATTTGTTCTTGAACTCTCTTATATTTTTTATTCATGTTGTGTTTTTAGAAGATTACACATGTACAGTAAAAGGAGTAATAAAATTGTTAAATGGAATAGAAAATATGATATGTGTTTAATGATGTCTTGTTGAGAATTGTTTGGTACACATGTACTTATAAGCTTGTGCTTTGACATTGCCCAATGCTGTTGCATAAGGAGAAGTGGTTATCTTGAAGCTTACAACTTGAGTTGGAAAAACTGTAAAACGTTGGTTTTTATGACAACCCTTCGTTTGAAAAAACATCGGTGATATTAAGGAAATTCCATACCAAACACATAACTTTCGACAGGATAGAGGGAGGTCAGACTGCACGTCTGTACCAGCTGGTCTAAGTCCTCTATGCACGCTTTCAGAAAATGAAGGGCTATCAGTAGATTAATTAGTTTTGATATAGTAATTATGCCCCCCTTCGAAGAAGTGGGGGTATATTGCTTTGCATTTGTCTGTCTGTCTGTCGGTCGGTCCGTAGACCAAATGGTTTCCGATCAATAACTAAAGAACGCTTAGGCCTAGAAACTTGGTAGGATAATTGTTCATCACCAGTAGATAACCCCTATTAATTTTGGGGTCAAAGGTCAAGGTCACATTAACCTTGTAGATAAAAATGGTTTCCGATCAATAACTAAAGAACGCTTAGGCCTAGGAACTTCAAACTTGGTAGGATGATTGTTCATCACCAGTAAATGACCCCTATTGATTTTGGGGTCAAGGGGTCAAAGGTCAAGTTCACATTGACCCTGTAGGTAAAAACGACTACAGAACGCTTAGGCCTAGTAACTTCAAACTTGGTAGGATGATTGTTCATCACCAGTAGATGACCCTTATTGATTTTGGGGTCAAAGGTAAAGGTCACATTGACCTTGTAGGTAAAAACGGTTTCTGATCAATAACTAAAGAACACTTAGGCCTAGTAACTTCAAACTTGGTAGGATGATTGTTCATCACCAGTAGATGACCCTTATTGATTTTGGGGTCAAGGGGTCAAATGTCAAGGTCACATTGACCTTGTAGGTAAGAAACGGTTTCCGATCAAAAACTTGACAACCCATTGGCCGTTGGCCCTCAAACTTCGTATGTGCATTGGTTTTGGCCAGTAGATGACCCCTATTGATTTTAGGGTCAAAGGTCAAGGTCATTTGTATGTCAAAACAGTTCAGACTAATAACTTGGCGACCAAATGGCGTCGGGTTTAAAATGTATGCATACATGTATATTATTTTGTAAGATTTTTGATCACTTTGTCATACAATTGCTGCACACAACCTTTACGGTCACACTGACCTAGTGACTACTCATGACCAGTAGATAGCCTTTATTGATGTTTTGGTCACTAGGTCAAAAGTCAGTCACAATAATCTGGCCACGTGACTAATTGGCTGCCGATAGGGGGCATACATGTACATGTTTTACAAACATATCTTGTTTAGTAAGGTAATAAACACCGCCTACATTTTGCTGGAGCGTGTTGTGGGTGTGCGATATGATATTAATTTTGTGTTTTCTAGAATGGTTGAAGCAATAATATCCGAAGATAATATTCCCTCTTCAGGAAGGCACGCCTGCTTAAATAATCTGAAAAGAAATTATGATACTTATAACCTTCTATTGCAATAAGACCGTCTAGGTCATAGCATTGGCAATATTGAGGAGTAAATTTGATTTGAAACAAATCACTGATTTCAATGTTTGCCGGTAGATCCCCACGTGTATTGTTATCAGATTATTTTGTCGTGAATTTAATGATGATGTGAAAAGAATGTTAACGGCAATAAACTTTATCTCATATACTGCCAGGTAACAAATTGAACTATAAAAATGATCTACTGAAAATTGAATCAAGTTTGAAAGTGCAGCGTAGCCCACCTTTGTCAAGAAAACTACTGAGCAAACTTAAGGCCATTTTGTGTAAATGTAAATCCAGTAGACTGTTCAAGCCCAAAGACCCAAACGTCACCATTTAAATCATATAATTGAGCCGCGTCACGACAGAACCAACATAGTGCGTTTGCGACCAGCATGGATCCAGACCAGCTAGCCTGCGCATCCGTGCAGTCTAATCAGGATCCATGCTGTTCGCTTACAAACCCTATTACAAGTAGAGAAACTGATAGCGAACAGCATGGATCCTGATCAGACTGCGCGGATGCGCAGGCTGGTCTGGTCTGGATCCATGCTGGTCGCAAACCCACTATGTTGGTTTTGTCGTGACACGGCTCACATTTCTAATTTATTAAAAGAATATGAAGAAAAAACAGTTATTTGACAATTATGTGTAAAGCCCAAATTTAGCCCTCAATCTACTAGTATATAATTATGTATCACATATTTCAAGCACCTTTTGGAATGATATCGGCCATAAATATGGCGATAATGACTTGGCTTCACTTCCGGTTTAGAGCTAGGCCAGTCTGTGCAGCCGTGCTGTCTGACCAAGATGTATAATATTGGTTGATTTTGATATTGAGATCCCTTAAATCCCATTGAAAAAAGTTCCATATTTAAAACAAGACTGACACATAAGTACAAATGTATATTGTTAAAGCATAGCTATATGTAAGCTTGCCTTAAAGCTGCATGCCTCCGATGAGCCAAAATATTTCAATAAAATCAAGCTTTAGAAAAATGTACTAAGATTTTAGGAAAAGTAAAAGATTTAAGCTTCAAGTAATAATTGACATGTACTGGGCTAATTTTTAAGTAATTATATCTATATTTCTACTGCGTTTTTAACTCAGTAGGGCTATTTTTTAATATTTTGACCTCTTTTTGGTAAAGAACATGGAATGTAAGTGCCATTGATAATGTGCCAATTGCTTCCTTTTGGTTACTTCACAATTTTATACTTTATAATTAATTTTCAAATTTTTCATGAAAATCAGCATGAATCTGGAGGCATGCTGCTTTCAGGTCTTTACGTATCCGTTTATATACTGTGCGTATCCGTTTATTAACTGTGACATGACATGACAATGCCACATCAGATGAAAAACAAAAATGTTAAACAGCGACTTAAATAGTTTTGGAAGACAGCACTAACTATATGTATGTCCTATCTGAAGTTCAAAGACATGAATCGCATTTTTGTCCAAAGGTCACAAATAGGACAAATAGTATAGGAAGGTAACAACCCCAAGCAAATAGGCGTATGACAGGGTTTTACTCGTTATCATGACGTAATATCCCAATGCAAAAGAGGTCTTTGAAAACAATTTCAAGCGCATAAAAGCCAACGATATTTAAACAAATATTTACTGAATCGCAACAATGATTGTTTGAACAACCTCTGTTTACATGGGTACAATTCCAATAAATCAATTTTGTTAAAGCGTTACATAATTATTACCGATGCGTGGTTAGAATTCCAATGCCATGATATAATAAGATAAAATATTCAATTAAAACACTTAAATCTCATTTCAAGAAATAGATTATTCAAACATTTTTATTGAAAACTAATGGAACTCTCTAAGCGTATTGTCCAGGGCAGCAAAGCAATACATTCTTTAACGTTTTTATCCTTTCGATATTTCGGAAGCAAATCTTTCCAGGCGACAATCCTAGCGTCTATGTTGTTCCCGTCTACAAGAAAATGTAGACAGCAAAGACGATTTGGAAATGAAATCGAACAAGGGTAACCTGTACGCCTTTGTAATACAATTATGTTTTGATATATTAAATGGTTTAAGTGTTCTTTTTGCAAAACGCTACAATATAGCAATTGCTCTTGTTTCCACTCACATCGGAGAACCTTTAATTGTATCTATTTAACGCTCCCGAAATACATGAAATAGAATATCTATCTACCAATAAATACCAGCATTACCTGATTGGATGCCTAATATTTCAGGCGAAAAGGAATCTTTATTTTACTTTCTGTCCCCTTTTCATTAAATTTAAGAAATGTTTTAATATCAGAATTTATATAATTGTATAAATAGATGTATAGACTTTTGCGAAATGTTTCAAACACAATACAATATCTTGATGGTAAAGATATTATCAATTTTGCATTGTCTTGAAATATGCCGTTTTTCAACAATCGTACAATTAATACTAGAAATGTGTCGTCACGCCACGGATGCCCCCGCATGCAGTCAAAATTTCAGATGTTACAATATTTAGTTCCAAATTTGTTTGCACAAACTTTGTTTTTTCATTTTAAGTTTTAAGCCCTTAAAACTATTCAATGTAAACACAAACCATTTTTATTCAAAGTTCAAGGTATTGAAACTATTCAGTGTTAACCTTTTGTCAATTGCATATTGCATATTTGTAGCCAAAATAATGACTACATACATTTCTACAAAAGTATGAGTCACGGGGGAGGAAGTGTTACACGAAGGATGGAGTTCTTATGATAACTTGTTTGGAGTTCTTATGATAACTGTCACGGAGTTCCTGGAAAACGTTACGGATTTCTGTGGAAAACTTTTCTATATACTGGGAGAACTTGCGTAAAAAATGGTTATTTTTAACTTTAAATGGGGAATTTGAGGTGCTTAATTAAACTTTGATAATTAAGCTTGCCCTACATATTGTATTATGTTTCAGAAAAAATCTTTTAGTCCATATTTCGTCGCCGTTTAAAAAAAAATCTGGTAGTTTTGAGAAAAATTTCCAAATACTTGCTAATTCGTACATATTGACCTTTTCATGTGTGATCTTCTTCGTTGCTATACTTAATTACATAATTATTATGGAGAGTTGCAAACATAAAGCCCAGGCTAATAGATTTATACCTGATTTTTCAAATGTTACGGAGTTCTTGCGATAACTCAAAATATGTCCTGGAGTTCTTATGATAACTTTTGTGCTTAATCACGGCACGTTTAAGCGTATTTTATTAGTCAATTAGTGTGTAAATCATTATGAAGCATAGTACGCTTATCATTTGCACAAAAATTTGGTTATATAACGTTGGTTTTGATCGTGTTTTTCAGTTCAAGAGATATTTTTCTTACCTCCGTTTCTTGTGTTTTTGTGTTTGTTTTGGTCTTTTTGTGTGTGTGTTTTTTTATATATTTTATTGGAATGACTGTAAACATACTTGATGTAGAGCTTT